CATTCATCATGACTTGGCATCAATCGACCGATGCTTGTATTTTCATCTCACCCAAGGCAAGTGGTGTCAACCGTCTTATGGCGTATTACTTTCAGCACAAGCGCCATCAACAGGCGGCTGCGCACGCATGCCTTCTCAGCCGAACAAGTGCACATTATGGAGATCGTTTGGCGTCCAGACCCTCAGCGACCGTATGAATATGAGAGGGCACCACAATTGTCATGCCACCAATTACCATCGCGAGGAGGCTAATCAACGAGGCAAAACCTTAACCTACATACTTGGGAGCCGGAGGCCGTCTTTGCCCCAGCCAGCCGTCCCGAGAATTAGGTGATGTTCTTCTGGGAGCCTGAGGCATTGCACTAGAATCGTAGACCACCGCGACGCTAAATGTGATCATGTGCTGTTGAATCACGGACACATAGACAATTTACCTGCATAACGGCCCCATTGGCGTTCTCCATGGCCAGTATAGACCTTGGGGTAGCAGTTAGGTTTGGAGGTGACAGGACGGAGCTCCTGAGAGGTGGGATAGCTGGTGCCTTTATGATCTCATCATGATGGCTCACGCCCCAACGATGCACATCATGCTAGCCTGCAGCGTCCTGCGGGCCTGACGTTGGGCGCTGCATGTATATTCCTACCTTAGTACCAGGTGAGGTAGGTTGGGAGGCGCTTGGGCGCAACTCCAACACAACCCGCCCCTTTTTGCTCCTCATGGCTTATACAAACCTATTCAAGCTCCAGTTTCCAGTCGCCTCCCTCATCGTCAGCGGCGGAGGGGAGGTGGAGTCGCTACCCGGCCTGGCGCGAAAAACTACACGCCATACGTTGCTCATTTCAAAATTTCTCTGTGGCGTGCGGTGGATGCCATCTACGTATCTGCGTTGACTTGGGGCTCGAGAGGGGGCGAAACAGCAACGCGGACTCTCTTGTCAATGCGCTTCCCAAATCGAAATTGGGGTGGCAGGGCATCCATGGGCTCTTAGTTTCCAGAGCCGGCAGGGGCATTCGCCCAGAATCTTCCCACATAAGCTGAAGCCACTTGCGAATGGCGTCCAGCATCGACGATCACCATGCATGTACAGCACTCAGAAGCCCTGCCTGCATTTCCTTGAGTCTTCTGCAGGTAGGAACTGGGCACTGGCCGGCGGATGCTCAATGCTACCACTATACAACTGTGGGTGGGAGAGCTGGTACAGATACTTGCCAGGATGTTGGGTGGCACGCAGGTGCGATTCCAGCACACGGATCCCTGTACGGAGGGCCCATCCATGCTGTAAGTCCACTCTTTATAGCGGGCAGCTACGGTATTCTCCTCCAGAGCCCGACCGGTGAACGCAGCCGGCTGCACTTGATGCACTGCTGCACTGCTGCTCTGTCGTTACAGTGCGGCTCGCCCTCCAGCCAACAACATCGCAGGACGAAAGCACCAGGCACATATCATGTATCGCCAGGTTTCATAAAACCCTGCACTGGCAGCATTAAGCGCTTTCCTCGAAAGCATACCACACACCCTTCTTCGAAAACCTAACCAGTCAAGCCAGTCCTCCGCATGTCTCTCTTCTCTAACGGTTGGAAGGAAAGTTAGCGCTCAACAACCCCTGTCCAGGCCTCGCGGCCATCGTTACACTAGCCCGCTCATACACATTTCCATCTTCGATATCCCAAAGTCTCTTCAATGATGGCGTTGCTGGTGCGGAATAAAGTTGGAAAGGACAAGTCCGATCTGGGTCATGTCCCGGATCCCTGGCTGCGCATCCGCCCTCTCTAGCCTTCTCTGCCTCTCCTGTTCCCCTGGGCTGCCTGCTACTTCTCGCTCGCACCACTCTTTGTCGGCCCACCGCTTTGAGTTAAGACGCCACTTCGCTGGGGCGAGCAGCGCATCCCCGAAGCGCATAGAGGTCAATCAGCTGCAACCCACACTGCAAGACGTCACGCGACAAGGTTTGCTACCCCGCCTGTGAACGGATGCTAAGTCGTGTGCTTGAACACGTTCTCACATTCTTTGATGTGTTCACTTGCTAGAGGGTCGGCCTGTGAGGATGGCCTGAGTGACCTGCATCCGGGCGCTTGAAGAACAATGCGCACTGTATCCACCAATTACCATCCAGGTAAAGGAAGTGCATACAGGAGGTGCATTGCAGGAGGACCTCCTGGTGATGCAACACCCGTTCATCATATACGATCCAATTGGACAGTGCTGCTGGTCTCTTGACATCTGGTGGTTGGTTGGCAAGGGTTGTCTCCCGAGGCCAGTGTAGCAATTAGGGTACTTTACCCCGCATTCCTGGGATATGGCAGCTACTGCAAGCTGTCTTAGGTTTACGGTTTAAACCGGGTCTAGCGTCGTGTTGTACGAATAGTCTGACTTGGGTATTGCCCATTGAGAGGAGTTTGCTGAGACATGTCTTAACATGATGAGGGGGGAAGTAAGACCGACTTTTGCCAGAGTGCCGTGGCCGGAACTGCAACCGAATCCCGCGAAATGAATTGCAAACCTGTGGCAGTATCTATTAATTTCCAGCGACAGTCATAAAGCCGAATATCACTGCTAAATTATGATGGAGAAGCCCATGGTCTAGGGGACTGAATCCGACCAATTTACTTGCCTCGGCGACTTATCTAAGATGTCAATGCTATGACAGTTTCACTCCACAGAATGATTACGCCAACGGAAAATGGTCTTGTTTCCACTATTTGGATCTCTCTTAATCGCAGATAGTCGTCGCTTTTTAATATGTTCTCATATCATAGAAATGACTTGAAATGTACGTAGAATGGACTGGAGCACCTGCTCAAGACGCAGTCTACCACAATTCGGGCAAACCTCGTATGTTACGAAGGTCTGCAGTGACCGGTAATTGCGGGAGTGTCTACGAGTGCAGCGGCGTAATTTTCTGGGATGTAGTAGAGATAAGTCAAAATTTGCGGCTGTCTAGGTCGACGCTGTCATCATTCTGTTCTCCTTCCTTTCAAGACTGGAGAGGAATCAGAGAGGATAGATACCGAAGAGGACTCGTGAATTGGTACAGCAGTTGTTCTTTGAATTGGCGCGTAGGGAAGACAAACTGCCAATAGGGCAAGAAGACTGGACAGCTTCACCCCTAGAGCCGTCAACAACTCGCGCGTACTAATCATGGCATAGTAACCCTTCGTAAAAAAGAAGAACATGGAGCCTGGTTTACAATGGGCTCGTCGTCGCCTTCTCCCAGCTCCTTTTCGTCAACTTATCGGCACTGACAACGCGGATTCCTTCCTCTGATATGCCACGCTGCGGCTCGGGGAGGGTGCAGAAAAGCGTGCCTGCTTCTCGAACCAACACCGCTCTATCGCACCACGTTTCCCTTTCGAAGCTTGGGAGCAATCGTATCTATTGAGAGGGTAGACCAGAGCCGCATCTTGAGCTATTTCAGATCCCCTTGAAGTTTGGCATCCCGCTCTTCGAAAGCCTCGATCTTGTACGCATTTAAATCTTCTAGGTTCGTCACTTCTCTTGTCTCATGTTCGCCGTAACTTCTGTTGGATTCCGTATATCTTATTTGAGACCTTTTGGCTCTCGCGGAGCTTTGCTTGCGTAGTACTTAATCTTTTGGATACCTAGCCTGCTGTAATGTATTAGCCTCGCGCATACTCCATTGGATGATAAAAAAAAAAAAAAAGCAATTAGGGACTTGCCTCTCTTCATGAGACCGGCGCTAAGTTTCACGCATTCATTTGCATCTTCGCTGTGAGTTTCGAAGCTGGGTTGATTGATGGGGTGATTTTGTGTAGGATTGTATAACGTACGTGTATTTGACAGATTTCCCCCGTCAGAGTTGACTGATCAGTTTCAACCAATCAGATCAAGTATGCATGTGCATTTAGCATACATGAGACTAGCCCTTGTACTGAATCTCATCACTAGGGAATCCTACTTTAAACATTCAGACTTCAACTCTTTCATGAAAACCATATGCGCATGCTTGATCTACTACGTATTTCCCAATGAGTATCTGGGAGCTGGAAGGTTAGCGCCAACTTGAGACCCACATTCGAGTTGATCACTTCATTTGTGCTGGGCAAATCCCTGTTGCGGGAAAGCCGCGGAAGTGTGAGGAGTGGATTTCAAACAAGGCACCCCGAATCCATCCCTCTGATTGTCAGCTTCGTTTGCTCCTATTTCACTGTGGTCTTGTGCTAAAAGATGGGGAAGGTAAAAAGCCCGAGTCCCGACTGAAACACCGTGCAACGCGAAAAGGAAAATTTAAAGCAAGGCAAACGTTATTCAGGGGCAAAGCTTGAGGAATGTCTTCCTCACCGGGGGTTAGAGCCTGATCCCCGTGTCAAATAAGGCAGTCTAGGTGTGCGATGTCCATTAAGACCGTACTGAAACAGAGCATCGTATTTTTCTTGAGGAATTAGAGATTCGGAAAGGAGTGGTATGTGGTTGTAGGTAACTTTTCAGCTCCATTGCTTGGAAAAGGAGCTTTTGATGGCTACATTCTACCTACCTACCCAATAGGCCAAAATTAGTCGACACCTTTACCCCGGATTTTCCCCTCCAATTTCGGCAGTTCTACCCCCCGCAGCGCTGCCATGCATGATGGAAGGTTGCATCATCAACTGTTGTCAGCCGGTACCTTAATAATGTTTAATTCTTGTGTTGATGGAATATTACACAGTGGCGTGATTGATTATCACATTCCATCATCTAATCGCCTGGAAATTATTGTCGTGAAATTTCGTGAAATTTTTCACATCATATCAACTCAGCGCGAAGCTCCGGGGCATCTTAGTTGAGCGCGTTTTTTTTTTCGGCACTTAGTTTCTACCTTCTCTTGGAGAGTCAGAGCTGCAATAATAATTGGTATTTCGTAGCTGCATGGATACACGGCTTGCAGCATGTTATAGTGACGGTGTGATATGAAAAGCCATACTGAAAAACGGAGTGAGGAGGGGTATCAATTTATCCATAGATTTAAGAGTACAGTCTATATTTTAGGGTGAACAGAGTGAAATCAGGCAGCAGAGGCATTTACGCCCCTCTGGCCTTTCAGCTTTTCTTCAAACTTGGCGAATTCCTCCAGAGAAATTTGCTCCTCCTCATCCAGAACCTGTTCTACTGCTGTGACCTCCTCGATCTGAGGTGAATGTTAGAAACAATTCTCGGAAAAAGTTGTGAAGGGGTGGGTCGGAGAACTTCGGTACTCACATAATGCATCAGCATGCTCTCTATGCCGTTCTTGAGAGTGACTGTGCTTGAGTCACAGGTACGGCACGCCCCGCGTAGCTTCAGTTTGACGACACCGTCGTCGGTGAACCCTCGAAACTCAATATCGCCACCGTCCTCCTGGATGGCGGGGCGGATTCTTGTCTCAAGCAGCTCCTTGATCATGCCAACAACCTCGCTATCATCCTCATTATAAGCCAGGCTGTCCTCTTCCTCCTCGGGCGCACCCTCCTTGCGCTCCGCAATGGTGACGATCTTCTCGCCCGAGGTAATGGCCTCGGTGATAAGAGCGAATATCTCGGGTCGGACGTGTGCCCAATTCACGTCGGCGGCTTTGGTGACGGTGATGAAATCGGCACCGTAGAATACCGACGTGATTCCATCGATGTTCATCAACTTCGCAGCCAGCTGGGAGGGGTACGGTGGTGAGATGGTGGACCGAGGGTTGAGATATTCGATAAACGGTGTTCCGAGATCTTCGGGAACAACTCGGTGATTCGGAAGGAATTTTATGGCATCTGGGTTGGGAGTGTTTTCGGTCTGGATGAATATCGTTCGTACTCGGTTCGCCAGTCCCCCTAACAGAGGACCTGGAAATTGTGATTGCCTCGCAAGCGGGCGAGCTCGGGTCGTCCGTAGAGGGGAGTTTGAAAGTGTGTTGAGCTGTCGCGCACCTCCGAGCAGTGCCCGAGAGGAATAGTCGCGGATGGGCGCGGATAGCAGGCGGGCAGCCCGCATCGATGACTTCGTGCAGGACATCATAGGCTGTGGGAATGAGGGATTAGGAACTGACCAGGTGTTGCGCAAGATGATGACATAGGAAAGTCGAAAATAGTGCCGAGGTGCTGAATGACGGCAACTTTTCTCTACCCACCCACCCATCGACATTAGTAATGCAAGCGATGTAACGAATTCGGGGAAATTTGGCTTGCAGCCGTCTAAGCGGGTCTCTAATCTTTCGTATCGCGATAAGAAAAAAAGGTGATGATGCCTACGCCACCTGCATGGTCAGCCATTCCCAATTCCACGTCTGCTCTTCCGCTTCCCCAGTGGCCTGATAATCATCCACCGGATTGATTGGCAATTGTCAGCGCCATGGACAGCTCAAACGCCCAATCAGCCCCTCCAGAACCACCAATTGGCTCAGGCCCCCATTCTGACACACAGGAGGACAGTGAGGCACCAACCGCAGCGCCATCTCATGATGTCAGACTATGCGGAATCTGCGAAAAGAACCCGTCCAAGTACAAATGTCCTCGGTGCTATCTACCTTAGTACGCCTCTCTCCTTTTTGTCCCACTTACTCTCGTGGATCCGGCATTTGCAATCATGCCTGCATGTACTGACAAAGATATCCAGTTGCTCTGTAGCTTGCAATAAGATTCATCGCGAAAATCATCCGCCCGATCCTCCGCCAGCTCCAAAGCCTTCCCCGCCTCCCGCAGCCTCAGCTACAGCTACGACAGCTCCGGAGGAATCCAATGAGGACTCCAGTACCCCTCAATCAGACCATCGGTTTGGCACGCTCGAACGCTCTAAGGAATTACAATATCTCTTCAAGAAGTACCCACGACTACCTAAACAATTACTTGACATCCATGCTGCAACCCTCCCACCTCCATCAGAGAAGTCTAGAATCCCCGCCTCGTTATTAAAGGACCTTCCGGAGTCATCGAATGGCTGGGATCGTGATAAAGCAATGACCAGCGGGAAAGAGGCTCTCCGTAAGGCGCGGGGAGCTAAGGGCGAGGATGGAGAAGCCCTGAGAGAATACTCCGAACTGGTGTTACACCTCACGAAGGATAAGGTCAACAATCGGTGAGAACGCTAGCCCAGGTAACCATATTCCTCTCTCAGGGGGCCTTTCATCGGTACTTTTGGGAGGGCAAGTCTGTCAAAGGTTCAGACTCGATATTCAACGCCAACCGTAAACTTGGTTAAACGGTTGCAGTTTCCGGGTATCAAAGCAGGTCACCAGCGCTATGACGTCTAAGACGAGGGAACAAAGCAGCGATTCGTGACTTTGTCACGTCCTCCATTATCGGCTCTTGTTCTTCTGGAAGAACCGGCGGATAGTCTCTGTGTTTTTGGCCCCCCAAATGACGTTTCAGTCGCCATCTGGATTCTGATTTTCGGAGCTTGACCTCATCGCTCTGGGTCCAGTCAACCCTGTGCTCCGCGATTTCTGCTTCGGTCAGTCCCTCATGATAGGGATTCTCATGCTTTTCTGCATGTGGCGCTGAAGCCACCTTCTCCATGGTCATCCCTGCAGCACCCTCGTCGTCGCTTTCCAGGCTCTTCGGCGAAGAATCCGTTTCAAAAAGAGTTTGTTGAATCGGATGGATTACATTATCATTAATTCCCACAGTTGATAGCAGGGTTGAGGGATGTTGGAATTGATTGCGTTGATATTGCTTTTCTCTTTTTCGCTGTGCTTTTTTCAATGTTTTTGCTGCCTCGTAAGGGGCTATGGTGTTCGGCTCGTCCTGAAATCCCGTATCTGCATTAACACCGTCCATATGATACTTCAAAGCCATCTTGGAGAGCCTGTGAACCAGACCCTTTTCGCCAGGGGGATCGATCGTGGTCGTTCTTGCAAACTGTAGCGCCGCTACTCGTGGAATGTGCCTATAAGTGGACGGGCATCCATCACCCCCATTTCGCACGCCGGGCGCATGGTTCGTGCAACTCGTGTCGGATCCTGCCCCCATGTTATCTTGTGGTGTTGGTTCGTCTTGGCACTGGTCTGGAACAGATTTCACCCCAACGTGAGCGGGTAGGGATATCTTCTTATCGGACTGCGGAAACTCATGTGCGAGGTCGTAATGTTTCTTCTCTACCCTTCGTTCCTTCGATCTTTGGGCTGTAGCTTGATGGTCGGTTCCTATTCTTGCGATTCTCGTTTGCTCGGCCAGTACCCTCTGTTCTGCCTGGATGATTGTCAACTTCCTCGACAATTCCTCTGGGTCAAAGGGCGAGGAGGACGAGTGGCGATGTTTGTGAGGATGTTTCTTTTGGTTGACAGGGGCTGGTGCAGGCCTGGTGGCCTTGACCTCCGGCGCGAAGGTCATCACGACTATTTCAGATACCCAGAGCCGCTGGAATCGGCAAAGCGGTCCCCATTGATTCTTGTGGGTTGGGTCGGCTGGGGGGCGGTCACGGAGACGGTCTAGGAATGCTGGGTTGAGAAAGCTTTTTTGGGCGCCTTGAGCTGCGTCTTCTGTGCCAAAACAACAGGCTGAGGACGATATACGCTGGAGGAAGGGACGTGCTATGGACTGTCTCGACACACTTGACAAATCGTCACGGACTACAGTGAGAGGTGGCTTGAGGGTCCGAGGTGCAACTCTACCGCCCAGCGGTTGGAGAGGGGTTTTGGTGCGGCAAGGATCATGATGCCACATTGAGATGGCCAGACGAGACACATGCTCCCTGGGTGGGTTCAGACATGTTACATTGAGCACCGCTGTGTTCCATGGTGTTATATTGAATATATTCTCTCTAGCTTGGGAAATTTTGAACCGGCCTCGCCCTTGCTGACCCAGCAAAGTGCAAACTGAAGCTCTCGTTCTATTTCGTGTGGTGCCAAGGCCTGTCTGTCGCTGAGTAACTTTACTTACCATCCTCATGCCGGCGACGTCACAGAGAGGATGTCTGGGGTCGCGCTCCATGAAACTGGATGTGGGGTCACGGGATCCTGTCTTGCCACTCCAGAAGAGGAGGTCCAACCTGTCCATCAAGGCGGGATGGGTTGAGGTTGTAAATAAAATGGAGCAGTCTTGATGCGATCAGGATTCTCTCCCGCTATCTGGGTATTGGTCCAGTCTGCAGGAATATGGAGACCTCTAATCTTTTTCCCCTTGCCTTTTTTTTTTGCTTTTTCTTTTTCCTTTTGCCCTTTTTTGCTGATACAGTACCGAAGGTTGGTGGTCGCATTGCCACTACTACGCTCAGGGCAACTGATTTGAGGCAATGTCTTAGATCTCGCCTTGAGGATCAGTGAGGAAACAATGGACATTCATATATAGTGCCAACATCGAACCTTACTGACAATAATCGGCGGCGTCGGCGTGATTCTGCTAAGTCCTCAGGCTAGGTCCTATTGCCTATTGCTGTCTGCACGTAGTGGTACGTATCGTTATGCTCCTCCTACCTGAGCCAAGCAGTGTCGCACACTGAGACCCTGTTTTGTCTCGATAATCGATCAGAACGGAGGTCCAAGCGTGCCGTATAGTATCCGGGCGTCTCCTAGCCCCTCAGTCAATACCTAGCTGCGTCTACCAGGAAAATTGGGTCACGACTACGGGCGATCACGTCGGCTCGAGCGAGCGCACGGGATGGTGGTGTGCTGCCAATGTGCATCATTCGACGGCAAAGGCGGGCGATTGCGATCGCGAATGGTGGATGCGCCTGTGACCGGGCAGATGCGTTAAGGGGTTTCGGTTGGCCGACACAGAGTTTGAGACGGCGAACCACCATCGATTGAGAGGCTTGGTGGACAATAAGCAGTCCGAATGAATCCTGTCCCAGGGTCCCGTTGGGCAGTTGGTTAATTTACCGCTCCACCCTCGTCCACCTAAAACGACTTCCTCACCAACGTGCCTGTTTGACCGGGGACGATAACGATTATTGGGTGCTGGGGAGCGGTACCACCAGCACGAGCACATGTACTCAGTTAGGTAGATGCCAGCCGCACGCACGTCTTCCCCCTCGGACCAGCTGAGGTCCATGACTTTATTAACCTATCCGACAGCTGCTCTCGACCTGGCTTCCTGCTGCTCTCCTTCTCACCATCTGCACATCCGCCTGCCTTGCCCTCCTGCTCCTTTTCTCCCCTCTGCTTCTAGATATTCGATCGAAGCCCTCCTCCCTAGCCCCCGCCCCCTCCTGGTGGTCTTGTGGGCGACACAATTACAAGCTACCAGTGGGCGCGCGCCACTATCGATTAATTACCAGCCCAGCAACCCTCCTGGGTCCCGTCGCCGCGGCGCCGGAAGGGCACAGCTGGTCCCCCGGCCTGACCTTGCAAAAGACCTTGCCATCCTGCCCTCAGAACCTGCAGCTTGGTATTATCCCTTGTCGTGCCATTCCTCCTTCCAGCGAAGTGCAGCGAGCTACCCGTCCACGGCCGCCTTCTAACGTGTTTCGCCTGTCCTGTTTTGGCCCGGCTCTGTGATACCTACCTATGTAAGTCGCCGACGAACAAATCATCCCCGTCTTCAAGAATGGATGCAGTGGGCCGGCGAGCAGGCAGGCCACGAATTGACTGGCTGGGCCTGGCTGTCGTTCGTTCCTAGCTCCTTGGCCTAAGGTGGTAGTACTGCGTCCCAAAATGCCAGCCAGAGTTGCATGTCTCCATCTGCGTGGGCATGTGTGTGGCATGGCATGTTCCTAAAACCAACGCCTGGTGCATACCCTCCCTGACAGCCTGCCCTCGTTATCGTTCTGGCTAAAGGGGTTTGTCAATTATCCCTCTGCTACCTAGCTGGCTGCGCCGTCCCAGTCCTGTCCCAGTCCCCGTCCAGATCCATCACCTCTCTGTCCTGCCTTTGCCTGCCCGGCTGCATGCTTCTGGTCTGCCTCATACCTTCCATGTGATTCCCTTTATTTGGCCAGTCGCCAGGCTGTGACAATGCCCTCTCCTCGTGGTAGTTCGCGACATGCTCACCAAGTCTCGAGCAGCCTCCATTCGCGACCCGTCGACCGTGGCCAGACTCCGACGCCGACCCAAGAGTCTCGGTGGCATCATCCAGCTCCCTCGAAGCCCAGCCAGCCTTCCGGCACCCAAGGCTATCATCTCCGCAAATCCTCGACCGCAGATCTCTCGTCCCTAGCTTCCGGAAACCGAGATTCCTTTGCCTCCATCCTCGACGACCCCTTCTTCAACAACTACAAGTCAGTTGTCTATCCAGAAACCGCCGCCGAGTCCTCCGGCCAGCCCGCTGCTGCGAAACCCGCCGCCGGATGCGATGAGAAGGCGAACCAGCCGCTTTGGCCCCCTCCTGCTCGCCGCGAGTCGTTAAGTGCTGGCCCCTCCCGCTACCAGGTATGTCCATGCTCACCACCATGCCCCACCCCATGAACCAGCTCAGCGCCAGCGGGGCAGGGGTCAATCCAATGGGCTGAAATTGGCTGCGCTATCGCCATTACCCATTGTTGTTGTCCCCATCCTTCCCTGAGAGTCGTTGTCGTTGGCATGGAATTGACTGTCATCTCGTTCCAGCAAATCGACCCCCCGCCCTCCGCCATGGAGACCTTCAACATCGCCGTCATCGGCTCCGAAGGCGTCGGCAAGTCGTCCTTCGTCCAACGGGTCCTCAACCTCCCGCGACCACCCATCACCAATGCCTCGACCGTCCGCATGCCAATTGACAATGTGATGCACATGGTCATGCTGCTCGAGCTCGACCTCGAGCACTTTGCATTGGACCCCGAGCTTCCCATTCAATGGCCGAAACAGATCAATGGGCACATAATGCCGCGAGTCGACGCCGCTTTAATTCTGTACGATGTAATGAACCGGGCATCTGTGGCTGAGCTGCCTCAAACAATGGGTACGTCATAGCCAAGGACAGCAACAGGGAAAGCTCAATCTAACCCCAGACTTCCAAAGCTGCTTTGACCAACTCAGGTCTCCCTGCGATTCTTGTTGCCACCAAGTGCGAAAATCCCAAGGACGAGTGGGAGGTTATCCCCGACGTGATCACGGGCAGCAAGTTTTACCAGTCCTGCCTCGCATCATACAAGCTCTCCAGCGAGAATCCCGAAGTCGCCCGCACCTGCCTGCAGGCGATCCTCAAAGCCGCCATTATTCACCGAAGAGGTAAGAGCTGTTTGGGTTGGGTTGGGTTGGCCAGGGATGTTGGTGGGCTCACACTAAAATATAGAAGAAAACGGCGAGACAGTATCCCGAAGGCGCGCCCAATCGAACCTGGAGATGCCTGATACGTCATCTACCCGCCCTACCAGTGAACAGAACAAGCACAGTCGAGCCAGCTCCGACCTCTCTTTATTGCGTGGCTTTGCCAACCTTCCGATCAACGAACGCGGCCAAGCTTCAAAAAGCAGCCCCCGGCTCGGCAAGCCTGGAGAATCCGACATTCAAACACAGCAGTCGTACAACAGCATGCTACGGACCTCTTCTGGCATCCGCCTGGACAGACCAGGCACTGAGTCTTCACAGGATATCGACGAATCCGATGCCGAGTCACGGCGATATTCAGACGACGTTCCCATCCTACAACGAAACGACGAAACCGGTGGCGGCACTGCGAAAATCGTCGGAGCTTCCTTCGACGAGCTAGTTGACCGACTTCTCGCCCCCCGAATTTCGAAAAACGACAGTAACTTCTCAGATATTTTCCTCTGTCTCTACCGCAAGTTTGCCGCGCCCGGCGAGCTTTTCTCAGCCATTCTCACCCGACTCGACGACGTACGTGATGACAAAACATCGCACTACCTGACCAAGACTGCTACCCAATTACGGATGATCGAAGTCGTAGCAAGATGGGTATCATTGTATCCTGGCGATTTTGCCCGACCAACCACCCGCCGAAATCTGGAGGAGTTTATCAAGCATCTTTCGACGGAGCCTATCTTCTCAATCTCAGCACAGCAAATTCGTCGCAACCTACACTTCAATGTGACTGAAGATGACGACACTGGTTGGGCAAACACGGATGAAGACGGAGACAAGGCTGCCAGCGACCTGTTAAAAAAGGACTCTGACAAACTGGGTCAAAGCTTGAGTGGGTTGGGGATTGAGGATGAAGAAGGAGACGACATGCCATCTCGAAGCTCTGACAACTCATTCGGTGACAGAGGCAGTGTAGGGAGCCAGTTCCAATTCCATTGGTATGAGGAGTATGAAAGAGAAGCATCATCGCTTGAGCCCTCGAGCCACTTACCGATGAACAAATTCCGGTACCACATCTTCATGGATATTCCGGACGAGGAGATAGCTGACGAGCTTACCCGTATTGATTGGGTAATGTTCTCGTCGATTCGAGTTCGAGACTTTGTTCGCCATGTCAGCTTATCGACGGCAGAGAAGGGCAAATGCCGGAGCCTCCAGAACGTGAACCGCATGATTGCACACTTCAACCACGTTGCTCAATGGGTCGCCAATCTAATTCTGCTGAGGGACAAGGCCAAACACCGGGCACAGATGATGGAGAAGTTCATGAATATTGCCCTCAAACTTCGACAAATGAACAATTACAACGGACTCGCAGCAGTTCTCGCGGGCATCAACGGAACATCAATTCATCGCCTAGCCCAGACCAGAGCCTTGGTCCCCCCGGAGGTCCAGAAACGTTTCGCCCGACTCGTAATTCTAATGGGCACGCAAAAGAGTCACTTCGCCTACCGACTTGCTTGGGAGAATTCCCCACTTCCCCGAATCCCATTTATTCCTTTGCATCGCCGCGATCTCGTGTCGGCCGAGGAGGGAAGCAAGACATTTGTTGGCCCGAAAGGCGACCGTATCAACTGGAAGAAGTTTGAGGTTCTTGGAGAGGTCCTCCTTCCCATGATGAAGAGTCAAGGCACCCCCTACCCTGGCTTATCAAAGCACGACAACATCAAGGACATGATCTTAGGATGTCGTATGCCCACAGATGATGAGGTGAGTTTGTTCTATCCTAATACGACGCTGTCTAAATGCGAGAATTTTAGCTAACAATTCCCCCTATTTAGGAAATATACCAGCGGAGCATACAGGTTGAGACCGGAGTGGGAGGACCCGCGGAGCAAACTAGAAAGAAATCATTCCCATGGTTTAAGGTATGAAGTAGTAAACAAGAACCACTGGCTGGATTCTACTACAAAGACAACGAAATCGGTGCGATTTTAGAATATTCATGTGTGTGCATTTTGATTAGCGGCAGCATGGTACGGGCAATACGGTTTTCTCGTTGATGTTCAAGGGGGGGCCAAACCCAGGTTGCTTTGATTCCAATCGAGTATTTTGAGCGTCGTCACTTTCCTGCACAAGCAACCATCTTCTCCTAGGTAACTTCAATGTCCTCACTAAAGTGAGAGGTTTATGGAGTTAGAGCCTTGTTTTGTCTTTTCCCTTTTATGTTTGCGCCTGGTGTTGCCCGCGTTGGATGTTAGATGGGCGGAATCAGGTAGCTTGGTAGGGTACCTATTGGTTAGGTAGTGTTAGTACTATTCTCAGGCAATTGGAACAAGTTTTAAATCCTATACAGAAACTTGTGTGCGGTGTTGGGCTTTACTGTTTGTTTAGTGCAAGCCCGAGTCACATCTCATTCTCTCCTTCCTTAGTAGTGGCAAGGCCTCCCAATGCCTCAGGCGCCTACAAGTCCTACCGTTCCCCATCCCTCGGTACCTTCCAGTTATCATAGAACTTGGGGTACAGATCCGTACAAACGTTGATTTGTATTTTGCCATTCGTTGCTCTAAGTAGGTATGCCGGCTTCTCTCTTATGCCGGAAATCACGATCGAGAATCCGAGGCTCCGCCTCAAGAGCAAATCCCACCGATCGCAATTAGAAATCAGATCCTCTCTCCGGCTCGACCTACCAGGAGAACTCCAAACCATACAGTCTACTGAGGAGCTCCTGCGACTGGTTTCGTCAGGGGAGCTGTGGATTGCCCGGGTGGGATCGTGCAATTTAACGGTAGAAGTCACGACCCTTGGAGATGCTCTATCCAGAGCTGAAACTACGGTGGTAGAAGATTGGATATCCGACCACCAGGTGGCTCTTCCCAGTATTTTTGAAACGCCGATATCTTCATATTCTAACCATACCTCTAGCTCTGGAACCAACTTGGCATTCGATTCATATCTTTGGGCGACGAGACGGCGATTCCTGCGAACGAAATTGGATTGTCTATTCAGCATCCTGATTTAACCTCGGCTCTTGTGGCATCAACAAAGACTTTGGTTGCAGAATTCATCTCTGCGAGATGTGCGATTGACTTGTCGGTAACCAAGGCATCCAGCACGGTTCATAAAAGGCCGCGCCTACCTGTTCAGAAACCATCGGACGATGCCACGTCAAACAACCGCCGTGGTATAGACCAAGATGTTAATATAGACGACCAGAGGGCGGTATCTGAGTTCGTGGCCAACCTTCATGAATGCGAGGAGCGGAATCGTCAGCCGAACCGGTCGAAAAGAGAACGGACCTCTGAAACCCAACATCCCATTGAAAACATTGGGCTTCACAAGAATGCCATTGATACTGCGATACGTATTATTCTGTTCGGTTCAAATAGCACTGGCAATAGCTACAGGCCCTTAGAGCAAGTATCAGCCCCTGGATTGTCGCAGTTAGCACCTGGCGTGTTCAACGTTTCATACACAGAGGTAATCCATCCCCTGTAACAAAGCGTTCTCGAAGCTAATCAAATCCCCAAGGTCGTCTCTAAGAGAGCAAATCTGTGTACTACTATTAGTTCTTCATTAGCAAGAATGGTAGCAGCTGAGTCGCCCAGTCTAAGGCGTAAGGTCGATATGCTCAAGATATCAGCAACCTCAGGAGAAATCAACGTTCCGCCAGAAATAGACATAATTCAGGGCATAGAGAGAAATGTCTGGGAGATCATTTTAAAATCTTCGAAGCCTCCCTCAAGAGGGAAGAGAAAAGCCAATGAGCCATCTGACCAGCCCAAACGTTCACGGCATGACCTTGAACAACAGTCCAACTTAGTGGATGATGCGTCAGCTTCCCCAATCGGGCGCTCTTCACCTCTAGTCATGGAAATATATGAAGATATATCGACCACCGAGTCAAATGAAAGGATAGTTCCAGATACGCTGGATACTTCTGTGTTCAATCAAGCCTCGAGTTCTGGCTTGGCGTTGGAGGATTCTCATATACATGAATATTTTAGCAGCTTGTCCCAAACTCTGTGGTATGAGCCGGCATTGCCTTCTGATTCTCAACCGCTACAAATCTTTGGAAATGGGCCATCTCTTTAAAAAGCGCATCATTGAAATAGTCCGCTATCCAGCTAATTGAATTGATCTCAAGTTGGTTTAGAAGTATTGAGAAGGAACTGTGGAGATATAGTGTCATGTCAAGATCAAAGGAGACCCTATATAAACCAGCCGGCTAGACCAAAATAGAAACATAGAAAGACTATCAAATTCAAAGTTCTGAATCATGTTCCTCATCCAAGCCGAACGAGCATGAACTGATTGATTGTTGATGGTATGTTTGGTGGTATTATTCAAGACCCACAAGGCGATGCGTGACTAAGTCCCATCAGCCAATCAGCTACTCGCTCAGCTCTGCACCGCAGCCAAAGCCAATGTATAAAAAAATCTCCAGTCGCAGCTATTCAAAGACGTCGGCATCGCACGATATCTCGCAACGTCCAAGCCAGGAGGTTGCAGCTTGCAATACCACGGGCCATGAGCGTAGCACGGCCGACCCGAAGCCTGCTAGGCAAGTACATCTCCTCCGCCGCCGCTCAATCGCGAAGCCCGGCCTCGACCGTCGTCTGCCGCCAATTCCACAGTTCTGCCCCGTGTCAGAAGAAGCGGCGCTCCCAGTTCCGCAATGTCAAAGCCGAGGAGCTGGGGCTCCTCAAGCCCGACGCAATGGAGAAATACCAGAAGGAGCACCTGCCCGACTACACCCCGGAGGAATTGGAGCTGCTGAGACAGAAGTACACGCCCGAGCAGATGGAAGCCCTGGAAGCTGCTGAGCAGGCCGTCAACCCCGGAGATATCGCCATTCAAGGTCGTCTGCGCGATGACCTGTTCCGCCCGAAATACATTGAAGATTTCACGGTCATGGACCCTCGGTACGATCTCAAGCCAGACCTCAAGGGCACACTCCGGGAGCACAAGTGGGACGACAACGACGAGAGGTTCGAGGAGGAATTCCTGGACAAGTTTAGCAAAGTGATGGAGAAAGGGACCAACAACCAGCTCACCCGTGCCATGATTCGTGCTCTCCGCCGGGTGAAGCAAAGTCAGGGCCGGGACATGATCGACCTCACCGAGGCCGAGCTGAACGACATGGAGAAGGACCCCTCGCTGCTGGAGAAGTACTTGGTTAAACCTGACGAGCGCGAGCCTAAGTACAAGGAAAAGGAGACCGAGACCGACGACTTCATAACCAGAGCTCAAGCTCTGAAGCTCGACGAGATGGTGGAGACCGCTTGGAAGAAGGAACTCGACCTGTTGTCCCACTCAAAACACACCGAGCTGAAGCCCAGCACTTTCGAGCTCGAGGAGGACGGTCCCACCGGTCCAATCCGCCTCCACACAGCGGAAGCCGTCGAGCTCGGCAAGGTCCCTGGTGTGGCTGGTCTCTACAAGACGTCGGCGGACGAGGACGACGGCAAGGACGACATGGGTCAGTACACCGAGCTCAAGCAGCTCACCGGGATGACTTTGTCGGAACTCAAGTCCATCTACAACAAGACCCTTGTCGTCAGACACGTACACAACCAGACCCGTCTGGGCAAGATCCGTAGCATCTCCGCCATGGTGATCGCCGGTAACGGCAATGGGCGCCTGGGACTTGGTGTCGGCAAATCAACCCAGATGGACGTCGCCGTCAACACGGCGACCATGCTCGCAATCAGAAATATGAAGCCCCTGCGACGGTACGAGAACCGGACAATATACGGAAACATCACGTCCAAGGTCTCGGGAACTGTCGTCGAACTATCTGCTCGTCCTCCTGGTAAGTACACCCCGCCCTCCCCATCTCCTCACTCCTGTGCCTCCCCGGAGCGAATACTAATCATAATAGGCTTCGGTCTCCGCGTCCCCTCGCGTCTCTTCGAGATGTGCCGTGCCGCTGGCCTGCACGATCTGGCCGTCCACATGCCCCGGTCCAAGAATCCCATGAACACGGTCAAGGCCACCTACAATGCCCTAATGAACCAGCCCGACCCCGAGGAGATTGCCATCGGCCGAGGCAAGAAGCTCGTCGACGCCAGAAAGGTGTACTATGGTGGCGCTGTGCTATAGAGAGGAGGGGGGGGGGCGTCAGGGACGTTGTTACGCACTGTATATCAAGACATGCTTCTTATATGTAAAAGATAGTTTCCTGTTGCGCATGAAATCCTCGGATTCCGCGAGACGTGTAATATCAACAATGAAATAAATCACCAATAAAGAAAACAAACGCACAGAGCAAGACCATGCTCATGATGAAATCAAAATCCATTTCCATGCCTTGGGTCTCAGTTAAAGATCATGTCATCGTAAAGAGTCCCCCCTCACCCATATCCCACAAAACACCTCTCCCCCAAACGCGTTGTGGTTCGCGCATAGACCCCCATGACGAAAATCAGTACTGCCCAGCGGGCGCCCCATCACCCCAGTCAATCTCCTGCTGCAAGACTATGCTGTACACGCTGGCCTTGAGCAGCGTGAAGGCCAGGCTGGTCTTGCGCTCCAGGTCCCGCAGGCCGTCGAGGATCTCGGCGCTGGGGTTCGAGGCGAGGTGCTCGAGCGTGGAGGCAAGCTGCAATCAGAACCAAGCGAGAAATGTCAGCTTCTTATAACCTTCCAAAGCAGGGCGAATGGACACATGTATTTCCCAAGAGTGAGGTTGGCGGCGAGAACTGACCTTCTTCATGTTCTCGGCCAGTCGCTCATACTCGTCGAGCACCTCCTGCTCAAGAGGCGTGAGCTCTGGGGGGGAGAGTAGATTTGGCGGACCTTGATCCATTACGATCTCTGAAGCGCGGCGCGTGAGGTGAATGGGGATAGATTGTTAGTGGTGAGCCGCGAATGTTAGTGGTGACTGTAACAAACAGCGGTCCTGTAGTGGGGCCAGCCATCACCTATTGTCTCCTACTGAGTGTCTCCTACTGAGTCCGCACTGACAGTCTTCATATGGAAAAAGGGCTGCCTCGTCAAAACATCACATTCTCCGGACAATTGCTTTTGTGGTTATTTGAAATGAAACGTCATAGAATTATTACTCAAACTGCCCAACACCATCCAAACAGCGCTAAAAGCATAAACCATACATCAATCATCTACCATGTACACATGTACGCCTTGACACGACAAGATATACTAAGAAAACACCCATTCCCGTGACTAAACAGCAAACCATGTATTCCGATCATCGGCTTCTTGGGCTTCTTGAGTCCCAATTCCCTTATGCTACCATCTCGCTCTCTTCAGCGCTGGTCCCCGTCCCGGCAACTGAACTTTCTGTCCATTCGTTCGCCGGGTCACCAGCCTCCGACTCGGCGTGCTGCCCTCGACTACTGCGACGGAGTGTGCCTGCGTCACTCTGATCGTCGCCCAATATATCATCTCCATTCTCGTCCACCCTATCATCAATAACAACAGGGGACTCATTCTCATCAACTTCCTCAACCGTCTCCCTGACACTCATGTTCTCCTTGTCTGTGTCGCCGAGGCCGATATCACCACCCCAGCTCCGTTTCCGATATGCTTTACTACCGGCTGGAGTCCTGACACTCTGGCTTCTCTTCACCCCACCAGACGCCACATTGTTGGTGATCTGGCCAAGTGAAGCGATTCTTCTCGCAACACCACCTTGTCCGGGAGGGGCCAGGTTACGCTTGCCAGAAAGAGCCATGTTCATCACAGGTCTAGGTGAAGCTTTTGGCGTCGTCGAGTCTTCAGCAACAACAGCGGTCTTCTTAACCCGCTTGCGGTTCATAGAATCGCCACCGCTCTTGGTAGCTTTAGACATGATCAAAACACGAGAGTGGTCCATCACTCCCTCGAGAATGCGGCGCTCCAACTTCTCTGCCCGCGACTCCATCTCAGAGAGATCTTCCTTGCGGAGGCGCATTGCCGTCTCCAGTGAGGAGACATCTCCGGTGAGGCGGGTTTTCTGGCGAATCAAACTCTCCTGTTCAGTTCTCAAGCTCATGATGCTGCCGTGGAGTCGCTCCTCTTCATCTCTGAGGCTTGCGATGGCTGCATCCAGGTGATCCTTCTCCGCCCGCCTTCGCGCAACCGAAGTTATCAAGTCCTGAAGCGTCTTCTCCTTTTCTTCGTGATCATCGGCGATGCGTTGAGTTTGTGATGACAAGAAGTTGGAGATATCCGCAGCTGTCTTCACAACAGATTGATGGACCTTGTCTAGAGTCTGCAGCTGAACGAAGGCCTGCTCAGTTGAGTTGCTGTAATCGACGAGCTTGTCGAGTTTCTCGTGCACGACTTTGTCGTCGTACTTCTCCTCGGACAGCTTGTCGAGCTTCTCGCGGACCTCGGTGTCGTCGTACCTCATCAACACCAAGGTATCAAGCTTCTCGTGAATCTCAGTATCATCGTACTTGACATCCGCCAGCTTGTCGAGCTTCTCACGAACTTCACTATCGTCATACTTGAGCTGTTGCAGCTCTTCCAGCTTTTCGCGGAGTCCAGTGTCGTCATACTTGAGAGCTTCGAGCATCTCTCGGAGCCCAGCATCATCATACTTAAGTTCTTCAAGTTTCTCTCGAAGTCCAGTATCATCATACTTCAACTCTTCAAGCTTCTCTCGAAGGCCAGTGTCGTCGTACTTGATCTCTTCGAGCCTCTCCTTAAGGCCAGTATCGTCGTACTTAAGTTCTTCAAGCTTTTCCTTGAGACCAGTATCGTCGTATTTGAGTTCTTCAAGTTTCTCTCGGAGTCCACTGTCATCATACTTCAACTCTTCGAGCTTCTCTCGGAGGCCAGTATCATCGTACTTGATCTCCTCGATCTTCTCCTTGAGTCCAGTATCGTCGAACTTGAGTTCTTCAAGCCTCTCTCGAAGTCCACTGTCATCATACTTCAACTCTTCTAGCTTCTGTCGGAGTTCTGTATCGTCGTACTTCAGTTCGGAGAGTTTTTCGATCATGTGTCGAAGGCCGCTATCATCATACTTCAACTCAACCAGGCTGTCAAGCTTCTGTTGAATTTGGGTATCATCAAACTTTTCAGGAGGTGGCAAAAGCAACATGTCTGACTTGGCTTCGATGATCTTGTCTTCAATACCGGTTGTAGATGCCTTGGAGTGCTCAAAGTGCTGGTGAACCAACTCAAGAAGAGCTTGAATAGATTCCATGACCTTTGGCTGAGTCTCCTTGAAGTCATTCTGTATACCTTCGACTACTGTGACAGCTTGCTGAAGTTGGTCTCGAGTCTGCTGGTGCTCGGACTTATCCTCTGTATGGTTCTCTTCATTTCGGGTAACGAGCTCCTCGACTTTACCGAAAACGGTCTGAGACGCCTCTTCCATCTTATCCACCGATTCGGTTACAGAAGCACCAAGGGTGTCAATCAGAAGCTTGAGCTCTTCAGCGACTGCCTTAGTATCCACGACTGCAGCTTCGGTAACGATGTCTCGAGCTTCGGCGGTCTTGTTTCTTTCATCCAGCACGGTTTGAAATTCATCGTACTTGGCGATCAATTCTCCCATCTTCTCGTCTATCTTGACACCAAGACTGTCTCGTGCTTCTTGGAGCTTCTCGTCAGACTCCAGCTTGGCTCCAGCAAAGATAGTTTTAGAGTCCTCGAATTCAGCCTTCATAGTATCAAACATCTCTTTCAGGTCGGTGGGGACGTTCTCAGACTTGTCGACCTTCTCGCCCATTCCCTCAAGAAGTTTGCCGAGAGCCTCGACACCGGTAGCTTCGTCGTCGAGCTTTGTCTTGAGAACCTCCTGGAATTCCTCGAGGAAGACCTTGACTTCGGCAACTTTCTCGCTTACGCCATTGATCTCCTCTTGCCGCTTTTCCAGAGCTTCCTTCGTAGAATCATTGTGGGTATCAAGTTTCTCCTTGGCTTCACTGAGCATGATCTCAAGATTCGTCAAATCTTCTTTCTTCGAAATATCGGCCAGGTCTTCCTTCCGTGCGAAATCAGCAAGATCGTCTTTCTTCGCGAGGTCTACAAGATGCTCTGTCTTCGCGAGATCGGCAAGATCTTCTTTCTTCGCCAGGTCTGCAACATCTTCCTTCTTAGTCAGTTCAGAAAGATCTTCCTTTTTGGTGATATCCGCGAGATCATCCTTCTTGGCAAACTCAACAAGATCCTCCTTTTTAGTGAAGTCGACAAAATCTTCCTTCTTCGGTAATTCTCCATCAAGCATATTCTTCATCTCAAGGACAACAGTCTCGACAGCCTCGATATCGGTCTTTGTGACCTTCTCGGGATCTTCCTTTTGATCTTCCTCGTCCTTGATGATCTTCTCTCTAAGCTCCTCAAAGCCAAGCCTGACCTCAGTAACGAGAGTTTCCATGTTGGAGAGATCTTCTTTGCGAGGGATGGCGTCCATGTCAGCGCCCATTAGTCGCATGCTTTCACGAGTTTCCAGGGTCAGGGTCTCGATGGCATCCAAGTGCTCCTTCCGGATAGCCTGGTCGCCATCAATCAAGTCATCTAAACGAGCCTTGGTGTTGCGCAAGATGGTCTCGATGGCTTCAACATCCTCCTTGGAAGCAATATCACCACTTAGTGGTGCGACAGGAGCCTCGGCATCGACAGATCGGGGCACCGATGCCTCAGCCGCAGCGGCAGGTGCGGGAGCAGGCGCAGGCGCAGGGACAGGTACAGGTACAGGTACAGGCATCTCGCGAGATCCAAGCTCTTCAACCTGCCTCTGCATATTTCCAAGCATTTCTTCGAGGCGGAAGAAGTCCTCCTTGTGATCACTTGCGGGCTCGGGTTCCATAGCTTCAACCTTGATTCGGAGTTGGGTGATAAGAACCTCAAGGTTTTTGATATCGTCCTGCTTAACCATGTCTACAGGGACGATGGCTTGCTCGTCGATATCAGTAGGTCTTCCCACGGCTGCAACCGCCCTGTCGTTACTGCTTTCTCGAATGCTATCGATGTCGGATCTGACAGAGTCCAGTCCCGACTTGAGTGCTTCCAAAATTTCGTCGTTAGCCGTCAAGTCCGTAGGTTTGTTGCTCATCCTGTCAATGCCGGCGCGGATGTCGTTCAATCCTTCATTGAGGGCATCGATAATTTCGGTCGTTTCATTTCGGGGGCGTAAAATCTCTTGTCGGATACTATTAACGGCGGTATGCAGAGCCTCAAGAACCTCCTTATTATTTCCCTGCTGCGGTGTAGCAGGGACCATGGAGGAGTTTACAATCTCACGAAGTCCCTCAAGCTCTGTTTGCAGCTGTTCCCGAGACGACTCAGATGATCGGGTCATGAACGTAGAGAGTTCTTCCTTGAAGGAGTCCATGGATCTCATCAGCTCCTGGTTGAATTCATCCTGGCCAGGTAGCTCCCGAGGAGCATCCTGCGCGGACTGTGATACAAGAACTGCGATGTCCTCCTTGAACGTGCCCATAGATCTAAGCAGTTCCTGTTTTAGGTCGTCTTCTTGGTCCGTTACTCGGCTTGATGCTTCCATGGATTGAGACACGAGAACGGCAATGTCCTCCTTAAACGTCTCCATGGAGTTGAGAATTTCATGCTTAAGATCATCGTGATCATCATGGCCTGCCACACGATCGACGTAACTCTCAATGGCGATTCTCAAGTTCTCGAGGCCGTCTTTGGTTGCATCAAGAACCTGCTCTGTATCACGACCATTGGCAGCAACGTTGTCCTTGGCTTCTTGGGAAACAGCCTTGAACTCCAACTTGATGTATCCGATCATGTCTTCGAGCCTCGAAAGAAGTTCATTGTTGTTGGAATGAGGAACCACGGCCCCAACCTTCGGCAGATCAAAGTCACTAAGCCCTTCCCTAACAGCATAGACCATATCCTCCCGGCTGAGGTCATTGCCCACGGCTGATGGGGCAATTGGGAATTCAAACTCTTCCAGGCAGTCTCGGACAGCTTCGATTATCTCATCGCGAGACAAGCTAGCAGGCGTGTCCATTTGGGGGGGAACAAAGTGCTTGAGGCCTTCTACGACTGCCCTAGAAACCTCTTCCCGAGTAGCGCCTACAGGTCGTTCATCTCGAGGCGCATACTCCCGGAGTCCTTCTTGAAGACAGGCAAGAACTTCGTCGCGTTCAAGACCGATTTGCTGAATTTCAATCTCTGGCTTATAAGTCTCCCAAGCATCTCTTACTGCATCAATCACGTCATCTCTGCTAAGATCGGGAATGTCGTGGCGCGAGGCCTCGTTGTCCTTGAGAGCGGTTCGCATGGCGTTATAAATCTCGTTGTAGTCAACTAGAGTCTTGGCTGTTGCGGCGGACTGAGCAGATTGACGGCGGTGCTCACGCAAAACATGATTGAGTTGGTCCTTCATCTGCTCCAGACCTTCGTCGATGACACGAGAGACCTCGTCCTTGCTTGGGGGCTCCGTGTCCTCGATTCCCTTTTGGCTGACCTGCTCAAGGCGCTTGCCGATCTCACGACCCATACCCAAAACCTCGCCTCGCAATTCCCGTACAAGGGCCTTGACCTCGGCTGTGAGGCCGCCACCTTGGGCAACGCTATCTTTGACAGATCGAATAATCTTGATCAAATCTTCGTTTAGAAGTTCCCGTCCAGCTGGTGCACGTGCCTCACCGTTGTGAAGGATCTGGTCAAGTCGCTGGGAAACGATGCCATGGTTTCTAGACTTATCGGCACTCACGTTGCTTTCTTCGCCGCTGCTGAGGTTGCGGCCACGGCTCGCGACGCTTCGATTGTCGTGAATAACGGCGCTCTCTGACTGATGACGAACTTGCTCAAGGAGCTCATCTACCTTGGTAGCCGTGGCCATACCGCTAACAAGGTGCGAAACCTCCGTTAATCGACTAATCAGAGCATCTTGTCCTTCCTTTGTGCCCATTTCCCGAATGATCTTCTCCAAGAGAGCGATAGACGTTGTGCTCTCGCCACCAGCCAGTGATGGTGTGCTAATGGAGGCCCTTTCAAAGGAGTCGGAAAAGCTTTTAGGTGATGGAATCCGGGGAAGCTGGAATCGACCAGGCGAATTATCATGGGGCTTATTGTCAAGGAACAAGCCTCCAAAATGATTCGAGGTCAGTCTGGAAGATGTCTCGCTAACTCCACTCAGCAAATCTTTGAGGCTCTTCCTGATGTCCTCGTCTCTGTTGTTAGTAGCTTCCTTGAGACTGAGGAGATCGGTAGCATTGTCTCTGCTTCGCCTGCTCAGCTGGGCCATCTCCTTCTGCAGGGATGTAGCGATGTTGGTGAGACTGATCATCTGTTCTGAGATCTGCTCGAATGACGGGGCGCCATTGGCGGGAGGAACTGCGCCATTGGTGATGTTGGAAATGCGAGGTTCGGCCTCCTTCAATGGGGGGGGAGAACCCATGTTCTGGAGCGCCAGCATCGTGGATGACTGAGGTGGAGTGTTTTCTCCCAGGATGCTCTGTGTTTGCGGACGACGTACTACCGGGCGTACAATCGGTGTAAGGCTAGGTCCGGGGACGGGACTACCGCTCATGAAGTCCTTGTCGATTGATATAGCATCAAACTCTCTTTCCAGATCCGACTTCTTTGGGCTGGGTGTCGGAGTCGAAAACCTTGCTTGTTCTCTGTGAAGCTTTTCTGCGAGCTTTGTAGGCGAAGTAGCCGGACTGTTCGAGTTGCTTTCGATCATTAAACTCATGTCTCGCACAGTTCCGGGCTGCAGAGACTGCATCCGCCGATGGCTATGGTTGCCCTTGACCAGCGCTCGCTCGGGGGAGTGGTCGATACGTTTTGTGACGGCCGGGACGAGAGCATTAGCCTCGCGGGCACGCTCGTTCAGCGCCGCATGTGCAGATTGGATGGCACTTGAGGTTCCCACACGAGAGGTGGCGGGAGACTGCGGGTTCAGAGGAAGTGGCGGGGGCGCCCGATCAGGATCTGAGCTATCCCACCTGTCGTGTTTATCAGCATTGGTTAGCTTATACCAGATAGACATGGCATTAGATGCGACCGCGCGGTAGGCGGGCTACAATTCAGAGCGACTGGCCAGGAAATGGTCGGGGAGAGAGGTGAGGGTGAAAATACGCACATTGGTACCAAAGCCCGCATGTTATGGTCAGAAGATGATGCTGAGTGCTGATGTCTCAGCTGCAGTTCCCTCTCGCGAGGGCTGTCTCGTTCGTAATGTGACATTGTGGGTGTTGAGGAATGTGATAGTCGGCGTGAGCAGCGAAGAATGCGGGCAGCGCCGCGTCCACACTTTGAAGGTCGTCTCAGACGAACAACAAGCAGGAAATAGAGTGTTTATGTCGTTGTAATTTGTCTCTTCTCGAGCCCCAGGAAGGATATCGATCAGAGGATTAGAGCGGGAGCTAGAGAAATGGGCGCAAAATCAAGTGGTGGAGTTGGCAGCCGAAGCTCCAGCGATATTGTGATGGAGGAAGACCCGATCCAGATATGTTTGTACCTGCCGCCGGTTGATAAGGAGGCTAAGCGGGTGCTTTGTTTGTATTTTGGGACCCGCAGCTCTAGTTGCCGGGCAACTCCATTGCCGCCCGCCAAAACCTATCACAGCATCACCCCATTTTTTTATTAATTACATACCCAGGTACCAATTGGAACCACGTCAAACAACTAGGGCCAAAGATGGGTTCCCAATGATAATAAATCAGTATCGTCTCTTGCGATAGGTTAGATTATTATGCAGCAAACAAACAATAATTAGATTGCACCGTACGTCACCCACCGCATCATGCAGATCAGGTTACTGCCCTAAGCACATTACCCAGGTAGATCATAGTACGTACCGCGCGGTTTGCCAATCCATTGGCCCATCGATCCCAGCGATTCAGTCTTTCATAAATCAATTACTATAAGTATATTCGTTCAGTTCGGAGCAGAGTGTCTAGTCGTTTTTTTATTTATACAATTCCAGCAAGGCTTGTCTCAAATCAGATAATTTCCAAGACCTCTCTGCCATTAAGCACCCCATATTCAAAGCGCTGTACAATGATCTATCCCCATCTCCCATTGGTCTAGTAAAATCTAAATCTACCGGCGGAAGGAGTTGTCAAAAGCAGGGATGAGCGTCTGAGCCAGCCAGAAAGAGAACACAAGCTTAGGTCCAGTCATGAGCAACTAGAGTTGACGAAGATTAGCACAAAGAATCAATCTACTAGAAGCCAGGTGGGGGTAACAAACCTTGGGCACCAGTCCCTTGAAGAAACTCGAGAACCCCTCATTCTTAGCCATGTTGGCCAGGATACGGAAACCACTCTCCGGGTTCTCAAAGTTGCGGTTCTGGATACGAGTCTTGATAACATCAAGAGGGGCAGACACAACGAGGGAAGCAGATGCACCGGCAATCGAAGCAACAAAGTTCTGGAACCAGCTAGCCTTGTTGTAATCCTCGAGGTGGAACATATATTCCTTGGCAAAGGCAGAGCCTCCGAAAAGCTGGATCGCAACTTGTTTAGATATTCTCGTGGTCCAATCATGTCAAAGAAGGGGAAAGGAGACTCACCGCAAAGGAGCCTGGAGCATTTCGAGCAGCAGTCCAACCCCAGCCACGGTAAAGGCCAAAGCCCTCGTCAGCAACGATCTTGAAAAGACCACGACCCTTGAAGGCTTCAGGGTTTGTCTGGCGCTTGATCTTGAGGACATCCAGAGGCAGAAGGACGATTTCACCAATTCCAATCAAACTATTACCAGATTAGCCCACGAATATTATCTTGGCCATCACTCGGTCCCGAGATTCAGAGAGACTGTAATCCGTACCTGCCAGCAGTCGAATGCAGAATGGCCTTGCCGGTCTTCTTGCCAAAGGCAGACTCGAAATCCTTGCCATAGTGTTGGGTGAGGAAATCACGGGCCACGGGCTGGCCGCCATATTTGTAAATTCGCTGGAGAACCTTGTAACCCGCGGCATATCCCAGGCCAGGGAAAAGCGAGACAAACTTGGTCGTAAGAGGGGCAGCGGCCTGTTGCTTGAAGATAACTTGGTTCAATTGAGCTGCGCTAGCGACCTATACAACCGGTCAAATTGTGAACATCGGCGCATCAATTGAAACTCGGACAGCGACTCATACTTTGGTCTGGTTGCTCATCAATCGCTTCGCAATGGTGTCAACCTGAGGCAAGGGAGTCAGCCAGGTTGTGTGGTGTCATTATATGCGGTGGATCAGACAAACAGGGTGGAAAACAGCCAATTCAGCAATACCAGCAGAACCTGTCTGAGCTGTTAGCACGATGCTGCTCGTCTGTGGTTCGAAGCTCAGTTCGTCTGAATGAGGTGACTACGGACCAGATCCCAGGACTCTGGCGAGATTAGACTCTCTCTCGCCTCCTGTGCTTGCCGAGGGAGACATTTTGGCTGTAGGAACTGGTCAAGAACGTGCAATTGGGGTGTACTTTGAAGCAACGAAATGAGTGGCTGTCGCAATCTTGAGGTTGTCGCGTGGAAATATTAATTTAGTCGCCTGGCTAAATTTTTGTACAGGGTGCCGAACTCGGGAGTACTCGTCTTGGCCGGGAGCAGTGGCCAGTGCCCCACCATACCCGCTCGATCGAATGTGCCCCTCTCTGAGGTAGATTTCGGATTTCGATCTCGCTGTTCTACTACCCTATAGCCGACAAACCGTTGTCGCTCATGTGCCTGAATGAACATTATCCGTCTTATGACGGTGGCCTTCCCCGTTCGCCATTCGGTCAATTTACATATGAAAGGATGCATCTGGAACCCCTTAAGGATTTGGCAGTAAGGTGATGAATTAAAACTGCGGGTTTTTATTCTCACTAGATTTACTTCTATGCTCATTATCAATCTCTCATTGTTTTGATTATTACGTGAACGAATTGGTACCGAGGTTGATTTATCCAACTGTTGCTCTCTTTCGGACCACGCCACGGCGTAGAACTTATATATAGACAAAGAGCCCGCAACAACTGAATTAGCAGCTTCATCAACACCCAGACCGGTTACATCAAGCGAGCTGCTGAAACGCTTTGCTGGCATACCTCGGGTTCTAATTTAGAAATCCCTTAACACAGAAACCATGTCATCAAGTCTCATGACTTGGCCCAGTAACCTGTCCTGAACTTCGAGATGACTGTTGTACTTGTTGTAGTGCTCGGCCGTCATAACCTCTTCCTCCTTGCCCTGAACGTCCTTGCGTTCAACAAACGACAGAATGTTGCGCTCCTTGTGTCGTTCAACCTGCAGCGTTTGCATACAACGCAACATCGCCTTGTACACATCATCGAGCAATTGGGCCTGCGTCTTTTCGCCATCGAAATGCCAAAAAAACAGTGTTCGATTGGCCAGGCGGTTGGTATCTCTGGGAACTTCTTGGATGTCCACTAGACCAGCCATTTGCATAGCAAGCATCTTCCCCTGCACATCTCCCTTCTTCATCAGTGCTGATGAGTAAAGCATTTTCTCGTCAAGCTTGCCTCTCTCTCGCAAGATCCGAGTCAGCCGCAGGCCATGTCTCCCGAAAGATTGCTCAATAACCGCATCCATTTCAGCATCTCGGAACCGGGCCATTAGTAGCCGGAAGTCCACTGTCCATTGGCCTCGACCCTGGGTGCCACAGTGGCGTATGAACCGGTGCTTGCTGTCTTTCAGTAAGAGTAGATGCTGCCTCATTTGTTCTATGCGAGCCGTCCTGTTCGTCGAACTGTCGTCAAATGTTACCCTGGCCGGGCGTTCGCCGTTCGTTCTTGTGTCATTATCCGACTCAGAAAACGGATCCTCATCATTGTGTTGACCAATATTTCCTCTTAGCCGGGTATTGGACCGCCCATTGGAAACAGGCCCATCATCATCCGACTCGATGTCAGATTCGTCATCTGATTGAGGCACCTCCATTTTTATTTTCTCGACACTAGAAGTGTCAATCTTATCTCCAGATACCTTGCCAATGCCTCTAGAAACGTCGATGCCCTCGTCCAGGTGATCAAAAATGTCCAGAGTAGTTACTGTAATCGGTGCTGGTTCTGGCTCTTTTACTGCCGCGAGTGGATCGATTCGGCACCTTGACATGTGAGCTGTGGTTAGGTCTAAAACTGTGCGATATACGCTGGCAGTGGTTTCGCCTATGCTGTCAGATGCAAAAGCCACCAGACGGTGATTCCGCAACTCAACCAAGCATTTTTCGTAATTCACTCTGACGATGATATTTGGCTAGACAGCGTTAGACGGGATAGTCAGCTAGCTGGGGGCCAGAGACTCAGATGCTTACATTCAAATGAGGGGCATCGTCATCATCGATGTGGTCCCCATTTGCGGAATGGCCATTCTGCAACTTTCGCCTCTTTGCATAGCTGCCCCGTGTTTGGTCAAGCTGTCTTTTGATGGCCTTCCCGTTATCTCGAAAGGCGATGTACCGCTCTGCAGCCTTTTCGTCATTTACTATTTTGTCCTTGTTGCTGATCCTGTCACCTGGCGAGGCTTTGGCCATCTCTTGCTTGTATTCATCAAGGACTTCGGCTGGGTTGCGGAATGTGTCAGCTCGTACGGCCTCGACAATTTCGGCCTGAAGTAGGCGAGCTAAAACAGACCGAAGTCGGCTCTCAGATCCGATAAGCATCGAGTGCGACCCGTTGGTTTCTCCATTGGCCTGGGGAGCTCTCGTTGAAAACGCTTGGCCCAGGTCTTGGATTCGAGCATGCCCGAGGAGCATGAGAGTCTGCACCAAATCACGTTCAGCGGCCCCGAATCGTTGTTCCAGAACTTCCAGTATTTTCCCGGAACGGATTAGATTGTAGCAGGCATCGGGGTTGGCCTCGTATGTAGTTGTTTTAGATCCAGGCTCAGTTCGCGCATACAGCAAATTCTGATGAAACAGCACACCTAATCCATTTCGTAGATGGCGGGGGTTAAGTGAGGTTTGTTGCACTAGCTGAGGAATGGTACTTCGTCCCTTGGTTAAAAGAGCGATGAGAATTCGCTGTGATGACCAGTGCCAAGGTCAGCCCCGCGCTGGGAAGAAAATATGATCGCATGTGAAGATGATCTCATCTTGTGTAAATGACATACCGAGGGGAGTTCACCGTAGAGGTCGTTAACTAGGAGAGCACAAAGCTCTGCAGCGTGTTTTGTCTGGCGCAATTGGTGTCAATGGACTGGGCAAGCAGAGCTAGGCGGCGCAATCGACTTGGGGCTGACTCACAACCAGCATTGCTTTGCTCCTAGAGATTCTCTCACTATCTCTAGAGCTTTCACAATTACTACCGATTCGTCATTTGTCGCTGGAACTAGACCAGGGATTTCGCTCTTGCAATTGTGGATGCCGAGAGCCGGAACGATGTGTTTTGGTTGATGAGAGCAAGTTGACGATGTATGACTTGCGCTCACGCCGATTTTTTTGTGGAATATCGTAGGTGAAGCTAACACAAGTCGAGCATTAAAAAGCGGGTCGTCCACTAGTTGCGGCTGCATTGGTCAGACAAATTGCCGGGTTTGTACCTCCCTTAGTCATTTTGCCCTGAGATACTTTGTCCGGAAGATACAGGCATGGGTATCACGTGACGAGCAAACTTCCCTCTGTCCCGAAAATCAGACGGGCAGCTCCCGACGAGGCACTTCTTTTGGCGACCAAACTGCCTTGACGACGGCGAACGGACAGTCAATTCCACACGAAATCGTTCTCGACTATGATCTCGAGATCGTCTCTCGCCCGAAACGCGCAGAAGGCCGCTTGCCGGTCATGGGCTGCCCAGCCCCTGCAGCGAAGAGCCTTTGCCTCAGCTGCGAACACTGGCGCCTTTGAGTCTTCGGATGTTTCTGGACTCAAGGTTGCCTCGCGCGATGCTCACGGCCCCACGACGAAGCTTGCCATTGTTGCCAAGGCTGGAACTCGTTATCAGCCCCTCCCCGGATTGGCTGTTGGTCTCGAGGAGTTTGCTTTCAAGGTACTGTTTTGTCATTGATATGTCACGGCAATTCCTGAGCTAATTTGTCGTGAAGAACACCCAACGCCGATCTGCCCTCCGAATTACTCGCGAATCCGAGCTCCTTGGTGGCCAATTGACCGCATCCCACACCCGTGAGGCTGTTGTTCTCCAGGCCAGCTTCCTACGCGAGGATCTGCCTTACTTCGCCGAGCTGTTGGCCGAGGTTGTCTCTTCCACCAAGTACACCAGTAAGGATCCTATGTGTTAAGCGTCACCAATTGCAGTCGCTGATGGTCTCATAGCCCACGAGTTCCACGAGGATGTTGAGCGAGTTCTCCATCTCAAGCAAGCTGCCTTCAATGCCGATGTCAACGCTCTCGCCCTCGATAACGCTCACGCCGTCGCCTTCCATGTCGGTCTGGGTGCCCCCGTCTATCCTACTCCCACGACTCCGTACCAGAAGTACCTGAACGAGGAGTACATTGCTAGCTACGCCGACGTCGTTTACACCAAGCCTAACATCGCTCTTGTTGCTGAGGGTGCTCCTTCCCAGGATCTCTCCAAGTGGGTTGGTCAGTTCTTCAAGGACGTTCCCTCTGCCTCTCAAAGCGGTCAGTCCCTGAAGGTTGAGGCTTCCAAGTACTATGGTGGTGAGCAGCGCACATCTCACACCGGTGGCAATGCTCTGGTCATTGCTTTCCCCGGCTCTGAAGTTTCCAACGCCAAGCCCGAGATTGCTGTCCTTGCTGCTCTTCTCGGCGGCCAGTCTAGCATCAAGTGGTCATCTGGCTACAGCCTTCTCGCCAAGGCAACTGCTGGCACCTCCGGCCTCTCTGTTACTACCTCTAACCTCGCTTACTCTGATGCTGGTCTCCTCGCCATCCAGCTCTCTGGTCCTGCTGCCTCTGTCCGCAAGGGTGCCGAGGCCACCGTGAAGGCCCTCGAGACCATTGCCAACGGCTCTGTCAGCCAGGAAGATGTCTCCAAGGCTGTTGCCAATGCCAAGTTCAACGTTCTGGATAGCGCCCAACAACCGGATGCCGCACTCCACCTCGCTGGATCTGGCATTGTCAACACTGGTAGCCCCTATGACATTGCTAAATCTGTCAAAGCTATCGAGGCTGTCACCGCTGACGCCCTGAAGACCGTAAGTTTTGCTCTCTTCCCCTCCTTACGTTGCATTGTAACGTCAACTAACTTCATTTGTAGACTGCCAAGGCTCTTTTGGACGGAAAGGCGACTGTATCTACAGTGGGTGATCTTTTCGTTCTCCCATACGCCGAGGAGATTGGTCTTAGGGTATAGATAGCAGGTCGATAGGCGTAATAGCTTGTACCAACAGTCGCGATCGTCTAGATAGGGGGATGTGGCGGTTTGTCCGTATGTCAATAACTGTATCAGAATTCTTTTGTTCAGTCCAGCCCCCGTTCGAAACCTATGCCTCAGTACTAAAAATAAATACGAAGGATTACCCTTCTCCTAATATTTAACCTACCCTATAGGTCATATACTTTGAATCTACTACTTTCAAGCTGGGATTTGACCCTGGGTGATCAATTGCTCTAGTAGGCGCGACCAGATAACCTCAGATAAGACGGGTGTACGGCACCAATAGAAGTCAAGAGTGACACATTAGGCATGATGTTTACTCCCGTAGTGGTGGAAAACGTCGCAAAGTCAGGGCGCGAGCTTAGTTGTAAGCTTTCGACTAGCAGAACTTTTATTGTGCGATCCGAGGTGGAGAAATGAGACATACCGTTGCTTTGGAAACGCATAAGAAAAATTAAAGATGGCAAAGTCGTTCATGGTGAGGTCACTTTGTAACCCCCAATTGCCTCTCAGGATGGATTCAATTGGGATACACCTTATGTAGTATGGGATGCGGCGCAACGTCAAACTCCAGGGAAGGATTTAGCAGAACCCATCGGGCACATTTCTCTTTACGCCATTAGGTACGTATCTATGTCTTAGGTGCTTCTGCGGGATGTAGTGTACAGCCATCGTAAGCAGATTGTTCATAACACGTTGTCCTGGGCTTTAACATACCGATTGCCCAACTTACCCAGTTGGATTCTGACCAGAGTCTACCGGATGAGCAATACGAGTAGCTTTCTAGGACCGAAATTTTGAACAGCACTAATTATTGCAGGACCTGAATCTAAGGCTAGTCTCGTCATTGGATCACTGAGTTTCACTTAGTAAGTCATTTTTTCCCTGCGGGCTGGCTTGTTTCAGCTTGTTCGGGGATGCCAAGGGGCTATAAATATGTACAGTGCTCTGTGCTTGTTACGAGAAATTAGGCTCCTGGCTATGCTCAATTAAAGCATATAACTGAGTTATTGGGGTCTTGTATCCGAAAGTCTTTCGTTGACAAACAATAATTCATATTCATGGTCATTTGTTGTCAGATATACTCCCAAGGGCGGCATCAACTGCAATCAGCCGCCCATTTAATTTTATTTTTGTCTTTGGGGCTGTATGTACGTTGGTAGTTTCGGTATGTTTGAGCTTACTGTTCGGCACGAGAGGCCCCCATTTGTGATGGGAGAAGGGCGGGCACTTGGCGGCCGGGCCGTCTCCTGATGATTTTACAGCCTCCAAGGGGGACAGCCAAAGTGCTACTACATACCTACCTTATAGTTGTTAGGTAACATACCTTTACCAAAATAGTCGGCGATTATTATAATGGCATCGCATCGGTATAACGACCAGCTGCTCAATGACACAAGATGAAAAGAGGAACGAGAAGAGGGAAAGAGACATTAGTCTGAAATAACTACAGCGAGCATCGTACATGCCCTGTTAAGGCTCCGCCCAGAGACCGCATCACCGACGACGGGTAGGCACTTACTCAGTACGAAGGTACCTCCCACCATGTAAGGCCAGGTACAACACGGCATTGATGGTACGGCTCGTATGTAGGTAGACGCCTGCAGCCAGGCTCGCTCCTGGACTTTCTCGCCTTGGCTAAGGTTCCGTCCGTGGTGGCGGTGTTTGGCCTTCCTGAGCCAAGGTCCCATTCGTCAACCTTTCAAGCAATTAAGCTTCCACTGCCCAGTAAAATTCTGGGCCCAGCCGCCAAACCGCTGGGCAAGCCTGTGGCACAAGACATCAGGCCTGGTGGTAGCTACTAGCCCCGGAAGGAAGCGACAGGGTACGTACTAATTAGCAAGGCATTCCGCTGAGGCGCCGCCCATCCATACAAAACTGCGTGGGACTGCCCACTACCGTCACTTTAGGGGGAGGGTTCACCCAGTAGTGGGTGCGCCAAACAACAAAGTGTTGACTCCTCCACTCATTCCACCATCTCCTCCTGTCCACAGTCTCGTCAACTTCCATCGCCCTTCTCCAGACTCCTCCGTCGAATCCGATTCCCCTCCTCTCCCCATGTCACCTGGGCCCCTCCTGAGACAACTATCATAATCCCGAGCCGCAGAAATTGGCGAAATTTTGTTTGTTTGGTGAATTTCTTGTCTCTCGCTTTCTCTCCATTTCCTCCCTCCTCTGGAATAGGTACGTTGCGTCCCCCGGATTGCTGGCAATTGGTCTCCCGAGCCACACAGCTGTTCTTGCTCTATGCCGGGCTTTTTGGATTTCTTAGAAAAGATCTGTGGCACTTGCTTTCGATTCCACTCTTGGAAACTGGTTCAAGTTCTTTTTTTTTGGGATCTGTCGCTGATATCTGCTGTCGCTAGGTCTGGGTAGTTTTCTTGACACCGCCTACTCGCCCTTCGATCGGACAGACCAATTCTATTCAGTCCTCGTAGATAGGCTGGAAAGGTTACTTTGGAATATCCCCAGGTTCTTTCCGACCCAATCACCGCCGAGCGTTTCCCTTGACCTTGCTGTCGCTGTCAACGTGAGTTCTGATTCAGAAATGGCCCCACAACTTCTCACACATACCTTCAAGCTTTCCTTGTCTCGTGGCATATGAGGTGCAAGGTTTGCGGGCCAGCTCTGACACCCATTCATGGGAATACGTGCATATGGCTTGTCCCCGCCCTTTTTACACATGTCCTCACTTTATTTACTTATCGAGATATCCTCTTCTAACTCAGGTGGATTGATAGGCTTCCTTACCCCCCGCCTCAACCATAACGATTGCGTGCGATACGAACGGACGCAAAGGACAACAACTCCTTCGCGCTTGCATGGTCGATCTGCGCATCGGTAGAAGCACCTCTTGAGAAGTGTCCGGTTTACTTCCTGCTGGTCAGAATGCCTGGTCCGAGGAAGGATAATTCTGGTGGGAACGCGGGGAGGCCCGACGGTCGCGGCCAAAATGGTGAGTCTCCTTGGTCCTAGGTTGAAAATATTGAGGGCATGTCCTGATCCTTTCTGTCAATAGGAAACCGAGGCGGCTTCCAGACCGACTCATCCATTTCAAACAGCCGATTCGGACACGAGCGGACACTGCAGCGATGGATGCCAGATGCGAATGATGCAATTGATGGGAGCTTGGAGAAATCTTCCAACAGCAACACCGGAGGCTGGGACCAGTTTGCCGCAAACAAAGAGCTCTTCGGGCTTACGACTGATTACGACGAAAACATTTATACGACGGCGATTAATAGAAGCCATCCACAGTATCGTGAGAGAATCGCCGCAGCCGAAAAGAAGGCTCGTGAGATCGAGCGCAGTGTAGCAAGCACAGCACATGTTGCTGAGGAGCGAGTTATGGACTACGTCGCGGGCTCTGAACCCAACGAAGACAATGAAGAAGACAAGTAAGTGTCCTTGAACCTGCAAATGTTATCACTTGCTGACACCTCAATAGATATAGTGGCGTTCGTCGCCAAGGGCAAGCACCCTTGGCAGGCCGTGAGAATAAGTATACTCCTCCGGCCAAGAGGGCTCCCGCAGCTCACTCAACTGTGAAGGGAGCCCCTGTTGACCCTGCCATTATTTCATCCCAGATCAAGGTTTCTGGTAAGAAGACGGCGGTGCTTGGACCAAGTGGAGATGCTGTCAAAAATGGTGCTGTTGCGAGCAATGAAAAGACAAAGCCCGCTCAGGCAAAGAATTCGGAAGAGAAGACCACCGATGCGACTGCATCTGCACAAGATGCGAAGGTTGCAGAAAAGGCGAGCCCATCTGGCCGACCCTCCACAAACGGGAAAGCCGGGTCTCCCAAACCCAAACCTAGCGCAACCTCAACCGTTGAGCGCGATGTGCTGAAGGAGTTTAAGACATTCGCAAATCAGCAACGCGAGAACGCGCAGAAAGTTCGCAGCAGCAAGGCCAAGGCCGATAAGGAGGTCAAGTTGACCGAGCTCAAGAAATTCGCCAATAGTTTCAAGCTGTCTACTCCGGTTCCAACTGATTTGGTCTCGATTATTGCAAAAGACCCAGCAAAGCAGAAGGAAATTCAAGCCAAGGCGCTCAAGAACGCCGAGGAAGTTGCCAGAACAAAGGCGGATACCTCATCCAAAGATACCAAACCCACACCAGCAGCAACATCGGGAGACACACAAACGAAGCCTGCTGAGCAGCCGCCAGCCAAGCATAACTCCGAGCCTCGCGCGCCCCGAGCTCCCAATGCTCCTCAAGGAAACACACAAGGTGGTCCACAAAACCGCCATCCTGGGCACCGTCAGCAGTATACTCAACAGCCTTACCAGTACAGGAACAATCGCGGACCCCACCACATTCCCCCACAGCAACAGACTGGCAACCTTGCCCAACGCATCCGGAACGCGGAACAGCATAAATTCTCTCAGCCGTTGGCCCCTCATCAGCACATTCCAGGCCAGGAACCACGACCTCCCCCAACTGGTCCCGCTAACAACGTTGACCAGAGCTTTAACCGCCGCCTGTCTGGAGTACCTTCTCACATGGGAGCCAAGCTTAATCCAAATAGCCATGAATTTAGGCCCGGTTCCTTCATTTCCACTTTGAATCAGAACGGACACCCAAGTGCATCATCCAGCCCAAGGTCTGTGGCGAACAACCCTCCCGAGCATCCTGCTGCTCCACCGACCGCACCAGCACCAGCTGTTGCTGGGGGCCAGCTCATTCGTCGCAAGACCAAAGCTGTTGATGTCGGCAAATGCTTTATCTTGGCACATATCAAGACCCTCACCCCGCCACAAGGAAGGAATTGGGATGAGAACGGAGGACTTCGCCCCGCTTATGATACTCTGCCGACATGGCGACAGCTCCAGGTTGAAGAAAATAAAGAATCAACCATGCACTTGACTTATGCCCAACACTTTGAACGCCAGCCGTTCGGAGGATCAACCATGGCAACGCCCAACCCGCCTCATGTTGTCCCCCACATCGCTCACCAGCACCAGCTGCCATTCCACCTCCAGCAGGGCGGCCACAACATGGGGCCGCGACAGTCACCTCACTTGGCTCAAATGCAGATGCATACTCCGCAGCATGGACCAGGCCCCCATCAATCGTATGGGCACGACGATCACCGTATGGTTCACTCAAATTCGGCGCAGTCGTTTGCCTCACCTCGCCTCGGCCAAGTTGCCATGGCATATCCCGGAATGAACTCGCCTGGTCAGGTTCCGTACCACCAGCCAGTGTTTATGAGCCCCGGGACACCACAGATGAACTACAGAAGTTTCTCCAACAATCCTCAGTACATGCCGCAAGGACAGCCGCAGCTGGGAGGACACATGATGATGCAGCCGCACTTTCCTCCCCAAGGAATGGTCGGTGGCCCACAAATGATGTATCCCGGAGCCCCTCCACACTTCATGACTCCTGGTGGGCCTCCCCAACCCGCCCCTGGTGCAAATGGGTATCCAAGCCCTGGACGCCCAGCTGCCACTATGATGACCCACCAAGGTTCTCAGCAAGGCCAACCTATGTATGGAATGAGTCCAAATGTCGGGTATACCCAGCCGGCATTTGCACATGGCCAACCTGGTGGCCCTAGTCAGTAATTTTAATCTCAGATATCGGTCAATGTATGGCTGACTCGGGGAAGCAGTTTCCAACCCGCGGGGTTATAACAATGCAGGCCCACAGCATTTTGGTACCAGCCCTCAACAGCCACATCAATTCGGGCACCATCCACAGAGGAGGGGCAGCAGTAGTTACAACAAGAACTATGGTGATCAAACTCAGAATCAGAAAGGGCATCCAGCTAGTCAAGCAACGAGTCAGCCAGTGTCAAACCGAGTGACGAATGGTAGTGACGAAGCTAAATGAGCACCCTTCTGGCCAAAGGCGTGATGGTATCAACCTTCATTTTTCAACGATGATAACCTCATTCACGGCATCACCCGCGTATTCACTGTCCGGTTAAGGACCGCCTCTGGAATCAGCATCGTTTGGCCGGCATGGAGAGGTTGTCTCCCATATAACAGACATATGGATATAGACTATGCAACATCACCAGGCCCAGATTATGTGGTCCGGAAATAACTACACTATAAGACACAACCTTATCTTGGACCTGAACTTCTTATTTGGATTCCTATTGCTACCGAGGAAGCCATGCTTATTCTCTTACACCCAATTTCGATATAGAGATCTGAGGGGCTTATTCTTGATCAACTCAAGTCGGAAGCCTAGGGCAAAACAAGAGATGGTATTGTGGTGAAGAACTGGTGTCAAGCTGCATAGCAAGGTGCCGCGCATACCACTGTTTCTTATGAGGAATCTTACTGGGAGCGTAAGACGGACGTTGAAGAAGTCTCTAGCCGACCATTTCACTCTTCGCTTTGGCTAGCTCTCGGTATCACACCACACCATAGCGGGGTGAGCTATCCGGATAGAGTTTGGGTGTTCGGGCACAATGAGAAGCGAAGCATCCATACAGCGGATGAGACAGGATAAATTATATGCCGTGGGCGGCTGCAGGCGACCCAGAGAAGACGGTGTTCTATGTTTTGTTACCACGGAAGAAGCATCATTTACAGAACACACAGCCTACATCATTGGTCTGTATTTGAGTTATGATTACCGTAGCATATTCATAGGCATATCAAAGGCATTGAGAAACCAGCTGTGAACAGTCTTCTTGTCAGAAATTTGCAAATAACTGGTGATGTTGGTGGCTAAGAATACATGAATAGACATAGAAGAGGTTGAGGTTTTAATATACAAGACACCCAGTAGCCAGAAGACATAGGCCTACGAGACAGCAAGATTGGGGCGAAAGGGAGAGACGCTGAGAAGAGTTTGTTCTGAATAGGGACTGAGGGCAATGGACGCCTTGCCTCCTGGATCAACATTCGGTGGGGGCCAGGGGCTGCGGACTTAAATAAAGGGGTGGGTGTGTCTGTTTCTGTCTGTGCGAGTGTGAGTGCGTATGCGTATGCGTGGGCGGACCACAACATCTGGCCCAGATCGTGCCCCCAAGTTTCGTCTGATGGGTGTCTGCTGGGTTGGCCTGGACCACCAGCTGGCAGGAACCACTTGTTATACCTAGGGTTATAGCAATGCAGCCCACTGGTTATAACCGGTGGGCATTGGGGGCGGTGGTGATTGCCACTCACGCAAATCTCTCCCTCCATGTCACATTGTCGGCTCGAACGAAGACTTTTCAATCCGAGAATGATGTCCCGACGCTTTGACTGAGGGTCCTGTTGTCTCGTACCTGAATGTAGATCTAATACAGTCGAACCGAAAAGAAGAAATCATCTCATCTTGAGAAGCGGCGAGCCTCAGCGAATCATGGCTGTGTGACGAACGTGACCTGGTTTTGAAACGTGCCAGTTCAACCAGCTTCCAAGGATGGGCCAATAAAGCAGATCTTCGTGTCTGCCAGCATGATTTTTAGTGCCCAAAACCGTGCATGAGGTGAATCTAGTGTTGTATAACCTGTGGCTCAGTTCAGGGGTTGACTACGTACGTTGTGTTGTATAAGGGTAGCAAAGCATTCGTGTGGGAAGAGTGGCAAGGTTACATTCTCCTCCCCCATGCACCCAATATAGGTTCGCACTTCCCGAGCGCATCATGGTTCCGATGGAGGAAAATACCGAGACGTGGAGATTTCATGTCGCCTGCCTACATTGGAAAGTCTGAGACATCTTTGAGTCTATCAATGCCGGAGAAAAGAGAGACACTGTTACTTCACAAGGACATTCTTTCCATGAAAAAAAGAGTTGAAATTTTTTTTAACTTTTTTTGCGAAATTCTCTTCCACGGCCTCACAGATTGTGTAAGGTAATGAATGATTTAGTAAGAAGAGTGCAAACTTCCGTTGTGCACTGACGACTAATGAACATTAGTACGGTGTCAGTGATCCAAGATCAAACGAAGTTCGCATTCATTGAAAGATGCAACTACGCAAGGGCCTCCTTTCTCCGAAAGAAAAAGTAAGATGGATGGATAGATGTAACCTGGCTTGCCCGAACAGGACGAGTTACCTAAACAGTGCTGTTATTCATGGCGTGCCCCTGGCAGGCAGATCTTGGTTTTGGGTTTCCGAAGTCTGGTAATGCAATGCGGCGTAGCAAGGAATCGGAGGGGGGGGCATCACGGGCCATCGGCCGGCAGTTCCATGATAGGCATCTCGTCGAGTTTTGCTATGGGCAGCTTCCTGTTGTGCTGTGTGTGGAGGTTAGGGTTGAGGATGTAGGCAGCAGGATAGCCAATTGCCATCCCATGGAACCAGCTTTCAGACGGATCTGCACCGAGATGTTGTTCGGTCTAATTTCTTTCGGGCGGCCCCATCTCACTATTTTCCTTCTTTTTCTTTTTTTCTCTTGCTTCGCCTGAGCTGGCGTTTCGAATGGGCTTTTACCTACCGAATGTGGTGAGAGTCGGTGCGGGGGCCTTGTCTGTCCATGGGTGGATGAAACCGAAACCTCCGATATGCTTATGCTGGGCACCGGCACTTGGCATTGATTGACTGCAATATGGAATTCGCAAGACTCAGGAGCTGCCAGGGTCTTGTGGCAGTGGGTGCTTCCACATGTCAAGGTCTGGAAGAGAGGTGAAGAGGAAAAGGAAATCTTGATATTAAAATGGAGGTGGTTGTATGTGATGACATGACTCTGGTCTACGAATCAAAGGGTGCGAATTCAACTTGTAAAATTACCAGGGATGGTTGGCTGATTTACCCTAAGACACCAGACTGCGCCCGAGACAAAGGCAAGAGTCGGTGGCTTGGAGTGTCAGCCTTCCCGATAGCCGGAGAGGTAAGTGGATGGCAGCGACGAAGCGTATCGAAGTGAAAAGCTGGTGGTTTCAGAGGCGGTTGGGAAGGGGGCCATCATTGGCTGCGGGTGGCTGCAGCAGTGGTGAGGTGCTGAGCAGGGGCCCCCAGTGATCGGCAAGCACCTAAGGGCTAGGCTGAAGGGTGTCGAAGCGCGCACTGGCAGCTGGCGGGTTCTGCAACACACTAGCCTGGAAGCAGCGCATAGGCATGTGCGTGGGTGGGTGCGGCGCCTGAGACGAGACAGCAACTGGCTCTGGCCCGACCACCACCAGTCCACAGGTCATCACCAGCTTGAGCCGCCAGGGTTTTCTCTCCGGCACAGCGGCAATGCGCGTCACCGCACCAGGGGAATGGTCTGGCCTGCGCTGGCTGCCGGCCGGGGCTCGCCTGACTGGACGAACAGGCCCCATCGGCCACTTCCCATCCCATCAAGCCTCCCTGCCCTCCTAGACACATGATACTTGTTCCAGACTCACATACCCAATCGAGTCTAAGTCAGGGCAGGCTGGCGTCTATCCGGCTTCCACTCGCTTTGAGTCAACGTCCAGCTTCCCAGGCTGCGGGAGATCCCCCCGCCCCGCCCACCGCTGTCGCTGTGTCGTGTTGGAGCAAGCACCGTCAATCAATCAGACACCGCTCACGTACCTGTACGTGACAGTGACGGGTGAAGCGTTTGGCAAGACGCTAGCCTCCTGGGCTCTGTGTAAGGGAAGCGAATCGGGCATTCGACCGAGCATTCATTGGGCTACAACGTAACATGATCAGCCAGGCGAAACCACGGCCTGGTCTGAGCTCTGCCCAACGGGTCAAGCCGAGTCGCTCCCTTTGCGTGCTACACGCCAGCCTGCCCTCCCTATGAAGAGGCGCACGGATGCCCTGACTATGGAGCCTCTAGGGGAACAATGGGGAAGTGTCTGAGAACCCTAGCAAACATACCCCATTGTGTAGGCGCCTGCCTATTGCAAGCCTTGCTGATTCTTGATGCGTTTTCATCTGGTAAGGCGGAAGGGGTGTGGGTAAGAAGGGGCGTAAAGGGGTTGCATGAATTCGAGTTCACGTACAGGGAACAGATGAATTTGTGAACAGTGTCGGTATGGATGAATCGGCACAATGCCATCAAGTCGAGGTGAACGATGGCCACACCCCTCCCCGAGATACCAAACGCTCCACCGACGTGTGCTAGCTGGTGGCCACAACTGCAGAGTATAAAGAGGTTCTCATCCTCTCAGCTTAGCAATTCTTTCTCCCAGGTTACACAGCCAACCACAGCCAGGTGCTTTCATTCTTCATTTGTTACAACGTTCTCTCTTGTGTTCATCGAGTGTTCCGCAAGCCGCTTCACTCACAGTCACTGACGTCTTGTTCTGCGAACAAGTCTCATCATTCATTCAAAACAAACTCTTCAAGAACACGCTTCATTTTCCAGCTTTGAGCCGCGCTCACATCTTGGTATATACCCATCCACACCTGGCAACCAGACCTGCAATCTCGAACCAGTCACCGACGCTCTCTACGATCTGGCTATCTAGCATCGTCCTGGTTCCGACCTGAATTTCTCGATACTACAGCAAAACGCTCACGAGCTATTCAAAACAACCTTCATTTTTCGCTCACCATGAAGTACCAATCTACTCTCGGCGCCGTCATCGGACTGGCTTCCATGGCCGCCGCCCACATGCAGATGAAGAGCCCTCCTCCTCTGCGATCTCAATACAACGAATTCACCACCGATGCCGACTACAGCATGACCAGCCCCCTGGATCAGAGCGGCAGCAACTTCCCTTGCAAGGGCTACCACTCGCTTCTTAACACTGACCAAGGCAAGTCTGTCGCCACATGGCAGCCAGGTTCCTCCCAGAGCATGACCATCACCGGCGGAGCATCCCACAACGGTGGCAGTTGCCAGGCTTCCCTCTCCTACGACGGTGGTAGCACCTGGAAGGTCATCCACTCGTACATTGGTAACTGCCCTGTCACCGGTGACTCAAGCTACGACTTCACCGTTCCCTCTGATGCCCAGAGCGGTGCCGCCTTGTTTGCTTGGACTTGGTTCAACAACGTTGGCAACCGCGAAATGTACATGAACTGTGCCTCCGTCACTATTGGCGGTTCCAGCAAGCGCGACGTCTCTGCCAGAAGCAGCTTGCCTGACATGTTCGTTGCCAACGTTGGCAACGGCTGCAGCACCGTTGAGGGCGCCGACGTTGAGTTCCCTAACCCCGGCACTGAAGTCACCAACAACTCCAAGAAGACTTCGCCCCCATCCGGTAGCTGCGGCTCGAGCGGCGGTGGTGGTAACTCTCCCTCCAGCTCGGCCAGCGCTGCTCCGTCTCCCACCGCCCAGCCTACCGCCACCCAGCAGCCTACCTCTGTCCAGCAGCCTCCTTCTACCAAGCAGCCCACTACCTCTGCTTCCAAGCCGGTCACCACTCCTGGTGCTTCTCCCACCACTACTCTGCAGACAGTTACCAAGTCTTCTTCTGCTGCCGCAAACCCAACTCCCACTTCGGGCACTCCTTCTGGCGGTTTCCCTCAGGGCCAGGCTTGCACCCCCGAAGGTGAATGGAACTGCGTTGGTGGAACTCAGTACCAGCGCTGTGCTTCCGGCCAGTGGTCAGCTCTCCAAGCCGTGTACCCCGGCACCACCTGCACTCCAGGCCAGAGCTCAGAGCTTGCTGTGGTCCGCCGCTCTGCCCGTAGCCCCAGGAACTTGGCTGAGGTCGTGAGATCTCTCTGGATGTAAGCCCCAGGTTCCTTCCACGCTGCGACTGCTCGCTCATTCAGGGGGATCCTGAAGGTACATAGACGCTTTCTCTGGCTATCATTCGACGCATGGTCGCTCTTTCTTTCTTGCTTGTCCTTTTTTTCTTTGTTTTTCAAAATCACGATTACGCATCTGCAATGTCACTCGCCTATAGGTTAGCATTTCGCTGCGAGTGCTGGAGTTTTTGGTCTCGTCTCATGAGACGTGGCCTTGTTTTTATGATGATTAAGTAGAAGAAAAATGATACTCTGTTCTTCTTAGTATTTTTTGGGTGCACCTACGTGAACGATATTGCAAACAATGAGATGAGCCTGGGTGTCAGGTACACCAGAACATGTGATGATTGTGAATGAGCCTTTGAGATGCTTGACTCGGTATTGTCTAATTTGAAGGCACAATACGAGGAATATCTCACTCGGGGGATGTGTGAGGTGTGGCTGGGCTGAGCCACACCTGGTAGTATGTGCCGTGACTCGTCATGTTCAGCTACCTTGCTGTGGCTGTGTTGCCACACATGCGCACGCACTCAGTGACTTGTCTGGTCGAACCTGTCGGCTCTTCCCTTTAATCCCTACTAGGAAGATACACACATGTCCAGACTCTGGGACAATGGGAGTCCACATCCAAACAACAATGCTGTTGGGCCAGACTTATCCAGCCTCCACCCAGGCCGCAGTCGTTCCGGCGCCTGTTCTGGTCTGGCCTCCCTCCTCCTGGATATGTGGAAGCAAAACATTTTGACCGCCACAATTGGCGCTTATTTGTCCATCGTGCCCTGCCAAATGTACTTGCCAGTGAATGTGGATGCTGATGCGACCCTGCATATCGCCATCAGCCAGAGAGGTGATCCTGCTTACAAGCACAGTCCAATCAACCCATCCCTCCCACCCGCTCCTTGCGGCGTTGTAATTCGCTACTAGGTAGGTAGGTAGACATGCACCGCCGGCCAGCCAGGCTTGTAGTATAGGAAAAGGAAAGACAATTGTCATCAGCCCCGTCATCCGGTATAATTGCGAATTGTTGTACATACTTGGGGAGGTCGGGTAGATGATTCTAAGCCCACTTCTCCCCACTCTGGTTGTCCTTCCCTTGTCTGCTGGTCCATGCGGATAGCCGTAGCAAGATTCAGGCGATACCTAATGATGGCATTCCTACCCAAGCCCGAATGAAGCACAGTCACACGTACGCGGATGGGGAGATTGTGACGGAAACCAGGCACTTAGTGCTGGGCGGGTGGTACCCAGGTACCTACATATAAATGCCGAGATTGACACGGCCGGTGGTGTTGGAGAAAAAAAACTTGCTTGTGTTAGCTGAGAGTGAACAAGGTACAACAGAAGCATTTGCGGTAAGTGGCGGCGCGCCCTCTGACCTGCCCACCCCCAAAAACAAGCACCACCACTACCACCTCCGCCCTCTCCCTCCCGTCCCTCTCCTCTGCTTCTTCCATCTCTGGATCTCCCGATCTCGAGTTCGAGGGACGTCTGAGCTCCTCCAGAACCGTACCAATCCGCTCCCTTCCTCCCCCAGCCTCGCATACCAACCACAACATGGCTGGACCTACATCTCCCAGCGCTGACGGTCCCACGTTTGCCCCGCCACAACTCCCCGCAGGCTGGATCGCTCAGTGGGATGGCGCGAGCAAGAAATACTACTACGTGCAGCTATCGACGGGAGTTTCGCAATGGGAGATTCCCACCCAGGCTGTCCAGACTGGGAATACGCCCGCCCAGCAAGCAGAGCACCCATACGGCACTCCCCAGCCAGAGGTCATCACCCATCCTGATGGGAGCCAAACAATTCGGCACTCCGACGGCACCATGGAGCCCATTTTGCCTCCTGGCTTGAACGCTCCCGGCAATGGCCCAACCGGCGACCGTGGTCTAGGTGTAAGTTGCTCTCCCACTCGCCCTATGTTTTACTCTCTCCGGTCGTGCGCGCATGAGGCTGACCACCCCTGGTCTATCTAGTCGATGGCGATGAACGCCCTGATGGGCGGCGGCAAGAACTCCGGCGGTAGCCACGGCTCCTCCTCGAATCCCCTCGGCGGTCTTGCGAGCTCCTTTCTTTCAGGCGGACACAGTAACAGCGGTTCTCATGGTAACAACCAGAGTGGTCATAGTTCAAGCCCGCTCTCTGGCATCGCCAGCTCACTGCTTGGTGGTGGTGGTAGCAACTCGTCTGGTCACAACAGCGGTGGTAAGAACTCGGGCGCTGGAAAGCTTGTTGGGCAGCTCGCATCGAGTCTGCTCTCCTCGAACAGCAACAAACCTCAACAACCGCAAAACTATCACGGTGGCCAATCTTCTGGCCAATCGTCCCAACATCACGGTCTCGCCGGCGCCATGATGGGCGGCGTGGCCAATCTGATGGGTGGAAAACCTCATGGCAGCAGCGTATGCTCTCTTCCTTCTACTTGGTAATACATCATATTGTGTCGGGATTCACTGACGTGGTTTTTCCATACAGAATCAGAACTTCGGCTATTCGAACTCAGGTACAAGCAGTGGTTATTCTGGACAAGCTCCCACGTACCAGCCACCAGGTGGTGCACCCCCCTCCTCCTCCGGGCAATCCTATCAGTCGCCTGCTCCAAATCAACAGCAAAGCGGCGGCAATCACAATCAATACGCACCACCAACTGGCGCCCCGCCGCAAGGCTACTACACACCCCCCAACCAGCCGCCACATGGTGCTCCCCAAGGCCAGTCACCCTATGGTGGATATTCTCACAGCCCCCAACCGCCCTCGGGTGGCCCTGGTGCGCCTTATTCTCAAGGACAGCAAAACTATGGAGCACCTCAGCATGCGCCTCCCCAAGGAGGTGCCCCCCAATACGCCCCTCCAGCTGGTGGCTATGGCAATGCCTACCCCGGTGGCCAGCACGGCCAGGGAAACTATGGCGGGCAACCTCCATACGGTCAGCAACCCTCACAGGGATACGGCGCTCCTCACTACTGAAGTGCTCAGCATGAGGATATGAGATTAGATGCCGTTGCCCGGAGTGTTATCCATCCCCAACCAGCAATGCCATGTTACAGAAACCTGTCGAGGATACACTGGCTGGGCAGTGTAGAGGGGAGAAGGTGTTGCATACATTCTTAAATGTCTCCAACCCGGGAAAACACATTCGTTTGCAGTCCCAGTGGTTCATCCAAGATGCATGATTAATGATTTGCGCATATTTCTTTTTGGCAAATTTGCAGCTCTTATCTGTAGATAGCGGAGTACTGTCCAAAAAATATTTCGTCCCATGTTCCGAGTTTTTTACTGCACCTTTTTCTGAGCGGCAGGGGCATCACCGGCAAAGGATCGCAGAGAAGTAGCGACCCATCTGGCAACAAACCAAGTGATCATGGAGAAGCAGACGATGTACCCCAGCGTTGGAAGTAGTGAACGGGGGAGAAGGTTGTATAGAAACGGGTCCAGGGTGAGGTCGACCAAGACTGGGGGAGGGTTCCTCATGAGCTCCTGGTCATGTGTGAAGTAGTCCGCCGTGGCGTGGATCCGTAGGAGGAGGACGGACGACTGCCTCTCTCCTGCGTTGTCGTCCTGGGCGGGGCGGTAGACCCGTGGCTTTGGGTCGGCTTCATCATCATCCTGGCGGGAGGTGGCATATTCAGCGAGGGACTGGATGAGTTCCGGCGTGTCCCAGACTGTGTTGAGCTCAAAGACATCCAGAGCAAAATTTGTTGGTTCCTTTTTTTTTTTGTATTAGGTTATTAAACTCTCTTGTTCTTTTGGGAATAAATCTAGATAGAGGAAAGAAATCATTTCTATAGCGATGATGGGCTATACGTACAAGAGCAGCCCAGCAGACACGGAGCTCGTATCTCTGCCCCTCTGTGAGTGTGTCAAGGAGAAGCCAGGTAGCAGGGGGGTCGACGCCCTCCTGGGGGAATTGGCGGGCCAGGCGAGTGCGGATGGTGTTGCCCGCGGTCTCGGGCGTGAGGGTGTGGAGATTGAGGTCGGAGAGCGTGGGCTTCTGGAGCGGGATGTTGACGGTGGCAGGGCCGAGGAATATGGCCTTCTCCACGTTGGCCGAGGTGAAGGTTGTGAGAGCCCCGATGAGGAGGACGAGGGAAGTGAGTAGCCTTGGGGCTAAAGGGTTTGACGGGGGCAGCATGATGGTAAAGGGTATTGTCCGCTGTTGTCTCTCCTGGTTTGGGCTAATGTTTTCCTACTGCAGGCGTTGGATGGTAGGAGGTGATGGGTGAACTGGCGATGGCCCGTACGTCACTGCCAGCTGTCAGAGTATCAGCAAATCTGGCCCGGTACCTGTCAGATCCCTGTAGCAGCCCTTTTGGATGGTCTGTGTGGCATTTGGGTGGGTGTGCTGGTCTCTTTGATAATCTAGCTGCCTCGCCGGTTGCTACGGAGTACTCGGGTGAAAATTATGACATGGACATTTGTGTTATTTGTCTGCCTGGTACTTGGTCGAATTTATGATTGCCACCATGTATTACATCGCCCTGGATTTTAAAGGGGCATTCAGGCAAACCTCGTTAACGAGGGACAAGCTCCCCACAATTATACCCGTTTTAGCAGATATCTCAATGTTAGCTCTATTGCGCGAGAAGTAAACAAAGCTGGTGCCTGAATGGACCTCTGCAGGTAGCATAAACAATTCAGACAGACCCCGACCGCGATGTTACGCCGGGTCTATCACAAATTACAAAACAACGGGCTAAGAGCCTCATGAGAGCTTCAGCATCCAGCAATGACCGAGGCGGGAGAGCACATGGCTCAGGAGCATCAAGGTTGGGCTTAACCACAGGGTAGGTATTAATAATTGAGCAGGGCTTGTGTTTAGGGGTCTAAAATGGTTCACCGCAGGTTGGGCTGGAGAGGCCATATCCATACCCTGCTCGCTTATTTGTCCGCATGTCAAGCCGAACACGGGGAATTAAGCCCTCGATTTCATCTGTCAGGCGAGTCCTTCCCCCCTGAGGTAGGAAATAGCTGGACAATAAGTAGAGCGGGCGGGATGGTATGATTTTCATTTGGGCTCCCGAGTCGAGATAATAAACAATAATTGGCAGCACCTGTACCGCAGACGCGCTTACCCTATCCAGGCACGCTCCTCAAAGTCAACAAATCCCGGCCTGGCAAGCAGCCCCCCTCCCCTGTTATCCAAATTTCCCCCCCACCTATTTTGCTGGGTCCATCTCTACTAATTCACCCAACAACGTCCTACTTTCTCCCGTCTTCCTCTCTCGATCACCCCGTGCCCAAGCCTGTTTGGACTCTTTACAGCCCGTGAGCTTGTGTTGCTGCTTCCTGTTTCCTACCAACTTATTTTGTTTCCCATATCCATCCACACAAGTCCAACCATGCGTGAGGTTATCAGTATCAACGGTTAGTGCCCGGATGCCCACCAACGCGTCCTCACCGCCGTGTCTTTGCTGCGAGGACCCGACCGACTTGATAAAATGTACTGACGAGATGGGATAGTCGGCCAGGCTGGTTGCCAGATTGCCAACTCCTGCTGGGAGGTAAGTCCAACCACGGGGGACACCGTCCTCCTCGTCCCGCGAGAGGAACAATGAATGAAGCTAACCCCTCCATAGCTCTACTGCCTCGAGCACGGCATCCAGGTAAACACCTAACACGGCCATGATGATCCGCGAACTCGAAAAAAAAAAAACTGACACAAGCTCTAGCCCGATGGTTACCTCACTGAGGAGCGCAAGGCTGCGGACCCTGATCAGGGCTTCAGCACTTTCTTCTCCGAGACTGGTACGAAGCTCCAGACGGCTCCCCTTTTCTGCGCCTGGATGGTCGTGACGGATATCTAACCAACTCTTCACTGTTTATAGGCCAGGGCAAGTACGTTCCCCGTGCTATCTACTGCGATCTCGAGCCCAATGTCGTCGACGAGGTCCGCACCGGTGCCTACCGCAACCTTTTCCACCCCGAGATGATGATCACCGGCAAGGAGGATGCCTCCAACAACTATGCCCGTGGACACTACACAGTCGGCAAGGAGCTGATTGATGGCGTCCTGGACAAGATCCGCCGTGTTGCCGACAACTGTGTTGGACTCCAGGGTTTCCTCGTCTTCCACTCCTTCGGTGGTGGTACTGGTTCCGGTTTTGGTGCTCTCCTCATGGAGCGTCTGTCTGTCGACTACGGCAAGAAGAGCAAGCTGGAATTCTGCGTCTATCCTGCCCCTCAGACTGCCACTTCCGTTGTTGAGCCTTACAACTCCATCCTCACCACCCACACCACCCTCGAGCACTCCGACTGCTCCTTCATGGTCGACAACGAGGCCATCTACGACATTTGCCGCCGCAACCTCGGCCTGGAACGTCCCAACTACGAGAACCTTAACCGCCTGATTGCCCAGGGTAGGATATGACCCCGAAAACTTGCCACTGAGCGTTTCCACGGTTGTGCTGACTATGATATAGTTGTTTCTTCCATCACCGCCTCTCTTCGTTTCGACGGTTCCCTCAATGTCGATCTGAACGAGTTCCAGACCAACCTGGTCCCTTACCCCCGTATCCACTTCCCTCTCGTCGCCTACGCCCCAGTCATCTCTGCTGCCAAGGCCGCTCACGAGGCCAACTCCGTCCAGGAGATGACCATGTCCTGCTTCGAGCCCAACAACCAGATGGTGAAGTGCGACCCCCGCCACGGCAAGTACATGGCCACCTGCCTGCTGTACCGTGGTGATGTTGTGCCCAACGATGCCCACGCTGCCGTTGCCACCCTCAAGACCAAGCGTACCATCCAGTTCGTCGACTGGTGCCCTACTGGTTTCAAGCTTGGTATCTGCTACCAGGCTCCCGAGAACGTCCCCAACGGAGATCTCGCCAAGGTCAACCGTGCTGTGTAAGTTTCCCCCAAATCAGTATTTCTAAGAAAAAATTCTGACCTACTTTTCTTCCAGGTGCATGCTTTCCAACACCACTGCTATTGCCGAGGCTTGGTCATCTCTTTCGACCAAGTTCGATCTTATGCACTCCAAGCGTGCTTTCGTGCACTGGTACGTTGGTGAGGGTATGGAGGAAGGTGAATTCTCCGAGGCCCGTGAGGATCTCGCTGCTCTGGAGCGTGATTACGAGGAGGTTGCCCTCGACTCCCTCGATGCTGAGGAGGTTGAGGAGGCTGAGTATTAGATTGAATCTGTAAGGCGATGAAGTCAAACTTCGGCTCCTTTTAGCATGAGCTCTCTATTTTAAAACTGTTGGTCAAAGCCATGATTTTGTGGTCTTCTTCCATTCAAGACGCCCCCCCCATACCTGTCTTAATGATTTCCCTTCTTTAAAATACAAATATCTTACAGGCGATCCTGAATCCAAAAAAATAACTGGCTCCTATGCGTGTGTTGTATTCTTTTCCCCGTATACCGTCGCTTGTTTGTGATGCTAGCTGAGAGCTGGGGGAGTGAAAAAGGGACCTAGGCTTCGTTTAACCCCGGATTTCGGTGGCGCTGGCAAAGCCGACGATAGGCGACAAGGGACGACTCCAACTTGCACCCTACATCTAAAACGTCACACCAATCCGGGCAATTGGCCGACCACTAACTCTTCTACTCGAACCTGCCTTGAACTCGCCTCACAATGAGTCTCTTCCGTTCGGCAGCCTGCAGAGCCTGCAGAAGCTCAACGATTCGACTCCGCCGAGGTTTTGCGACAGCTAGCACCCAACAGCCGAGCCAGTCAGCCCACGACAACCATGTGCGGATTGTCGAGGTCGGGCCTCGCGACGGACTCCAAAACGAAAAAGTCTCCATCCCGCTCCATACCAAGATAGAACTTATCGAGCGGCTGGCAAAAACCGGTGTTTCGACAATTGAAGCCGGGTCCTTTGTCTCGCCAAAATGGGTTCCCCAGGTAGGTTGCTCTGAACCGCCGTCCCGTCACCCCCTCCCGCCCCGAGCAAGCTGTATGCTAACCTCTTGCTTGCCCAGATGGCGAACTCGAGCGAGATCCTGGAACACATCCTCCAGCAGAAGATTGCATCCCCCGTCCCCGTGTCGTACTCCTTCCTGGCGCCGAACATCAAGGGTCTCGAGAACGCAGCCGGTCTGCTGAGGCAGAATCCCGGGGCGTTTGCGACGCAGCTCAGCCCTGCGGCCGAGGGCGCCAAGGTCTCGACGCCGGAGATTGAGGTGGCCGTCTTCGCGGCGGCGACGGAGAGCTTCTCCCAGCGGAACCTGAACTGTGACATACAGACCTCCCTCGAGCGGTTCAAGGCGGTGATCCAGGACTCCAAGGCCATCGGTCTACGCGTGCGAGCCTACATCTCCGTGGTGCTGGGGTGCCCCTTTGAAGGGTTCGACGTCGACCCCCACAGGGTTGCTGAGATTGCTGCGGACCTGCTCGAGTCCGGCGCGGACGAGATCTCGCTGGGCGACACGACGGGCATGGGCACGGCGCCGCGGACGAGCAACCTGCTCAAGTGCCTGACGGCCGCGGGGATCCGGACCGAGGACACGGCCATGCATTTCCACGACACGTATGGGCAGGCGCTCGTCAACACGGCCGTGTCGCTGGAGCACGGGATCCGGACGTTTGACAGCAGCGTGGGTGGGCTTGGTGGTTGCCCGTACAGTCCCGGGGCGACGGGCAACGTTGCCACGGAGAACATGGTGTACTTCCTGGAGACTCTGGGGATGAGCACGGGCGTGGACTTGGATGCGATGGCGGATATTGGCTCTTGGATCTCTGGACAGCTGGGTAGACAAAACGATAGCAGTGTGGGCAAGGCTGTGCTCGGTGCGCGAGCTAGGGAACAGTCCGAGGCTACGAAGGGGGCGTAAGGGGGCTTGAGATATCCTGTAATTCAAATGCGAATATGTATTTTTGGGCTGAAATGAGCAGTCTTATCAATACCATAGCGGCCTTGAGGTTAAGCAAGTGCTCATGTCTAATATGGCGGAGTGTGTTGGTATTGTGGTGCCATCTCCAGCAACACAAACGCACCGGAAGTGGATTTTAACCAGGTTTTAAAACCACAAGGCTTATTCAGTCTCTTTATTTTCTGTGATTGACTTTTATTGATTTATAGAGCCGGATATTGAGCTGAGGTTGGGCCTTGAAAAGCTGGCATAGCGCAGCCTGGAGCTCCAGTCATGTGATGTCACAGCTCTAGAAGGTCAAGCAATTGGGCTCCACTCTTGCTGCACCTGCCTCACCTCAACATCTACGTTGATCTCCAACCCTCAGCTGTGAGGCCTCGTCGCTCTACTTCAGGCCAACCTATCCATCGCCGCGCCGTCCCCCACCCACCTCCATCCTCGTCGAGAGCCTCGAATCAGCGCTCACCCCCCTTCATCCTCTCGATTCGCTTCCTTGACGAATTTCGCTCGCACTAAGGACAGCTAGCCACCATGTCAGACCCCCGTGAGCCGTCGTCATACTCGGTCGTGCCGAGGCTTCGGTACAACACCGTTGGCGGTATCAACGGCCCTCTGGTTATTCTTGAGAATGTATGCATTGGATAAGGGGAAGAGATGGCGGGAAGGGGAAACCCCTCTTTCGTCATAAAGTCTGGGATGCGCGCTGACGTACTGGGTCTCTAGGTCAAAAACCCCAAGTACAACGAGATTGTGACTCTTACTCTGGGCGATGGCACACAACGATCCGGTCAGGTTCTGGAGGCCCGAGGTATGGGAATCTGCGCAATTCTCGAAATATAGGGTGCTAATCAGAGCTATGTGATAGGTGACCGAGCTGTTGTCCAGGTATTACGCGATCCTGCTTTATTGGTGGCTGGGACGACCACTGACTGACTGATTTCTAGGTCTTCGAAGGAACCTCTGGTATCGACGTGAAGAAGGTATAGTGGTGGTGCTTCCGCGATTGCTGGGTTGTCTGCTAATGTGTATCCCCCACCAGACCAATGTCGAGTTCACAGGCCAGAGCTTGAAGCTCGGTGTCTCAGAGGACATGCTTGGCCGAGTCTTCGATGGATCCGGTCGAGCCATGGACAAGGGCCCCAAGGTCTTGGCTGAGGATTATATTGATATCAACGGTAGCCCTATTAACCCATTCTCCCGAGTAAGTTGGCGGATTGTTGGTAGCACGGATGGGGAGCATATGCGCTGACCTGACTCGAACTAGGAATACCCCGAGGAGATGATTTCGACTGGTATCTCCGCCATTGACACCATGAACTCAATTGCCCGTGGCCAGAAGATTCCTATTTTCTCCTCAGCTGGTCTGCCTCACAACGAAATTGCCGCCCAGATTTGTCGACAGGCAGGTCTTGTCCAGAAGCAGGGTGTCACCAACAAGGGTGTTCATGATGGCCACGAGGACAACTTCTCCATCGTCTTCGGTGCCATGGGTGTCAACTTGGAAACCGCCCGTTTCTTCACCAACGATTTCAAGCAGAATGGCAGTCTGGAGCGTACCACACTGTTTGTCAACATTGCTAGCGATCCTACGTACGTTTCTCCCCTACTCTAATTGGAATCAGTTGAGGTTGTGCTAACGGCGTGTGTAGCATCGAACGTATCATCACACCTCGTCTTGCCCTGACGACGGCTGAATACTACGCCTACCAGCTCGAGAAGCACGTCCTGGTCATTCTTACCGACTTGTCTTCTTACTGCGATGCCCTCCGTGAAGTCTCGGCGGCCCGTGAAGAAGTCCCAGGTCGACGTGGTTACCCCGGTTACATGTACACTGATTTGTCGACCATCTACGAACGTGCTGGACGTGTGACTGGCCGCAATGGCTCCATCACCCAGATCCCCATTCTGACCATGCCCAACGAGGATATCACTCACCCTATTCCCGATCTTACTGGTTATATTACTGAGGGACAGATCTTCGTCGACCGTCCCATGTACAACCGCGGTATCTACCCTCCCATCAACGTGCTTCCATCGCTGTCGCGTTTGATGAAGTCTGCCATTGGTGAGGGTATGACCCGTCGTGACCACGGTGATGTTTCCAACCAGCTGTACGCCAAGTACGCCATCGGTCGTGATGCCGCTGCCATGAAGGCTGTGGTGGGTGAGGAAGCTCTGTCGAACGAAGACAAGCTCTCTCTCGAATTCTTGGACAAGTTCGAGCGTCAATTCATCAGCCAGGGTGCCTATGAGTCTCGCAGCATTTTCGAGTCCCTTGATTTGGCATGGAGCCTCCTCCGTATCTACCCCAAGGAGCTTCTCAACCGTATCCCCGCCAAGGTCCTCAACGAGTACTACCAGCGTGCCCAGAAGGAGGCCAAGTCAAAGGGAAAGCAGAAGGCTGCCGCTGACGCTACAAGCCAGCAGCAGGCCGAGGGAAACCTGGTTGAAGTGTAAATGAAGAAAGACATACACTCATTGAAGGAGATGGGAGAGTAAGCATTGGGGGGGATTGATAATAGATAGATGGAGCTCGCAGGCTTTGGAGCATTGTTTTTGTTTTTGGCAGACCGTCCAATCGAGTCCTCGTGTTTGTATACGTTCTGTAGGCTGCGTGAAGCGGGAGGTTATGATCATCCATTTGCAAGGTTCACAGTTCAATGCCATGGCAGTATTCTTCCTTTCAGGCCCCATGCTGTCAAGATTGTGATGAACAATTCGGTTTCTTAACTGGCAAATGACGCCTTCCGCGGGGGGCGGGGGTGCCTTGTTGTTTTCTTCTGCTTTCCTTACCAGGTTATCGAGCAGGCTATTGTCGGCTGTATCTACATACGCATATACGGCTGGGATGCCTCGTGCATCTTGGGCTGGGAGTGGACTGATGACTGAGTGGAGTCTGCGCTTTCGGCCCTTTTCCCCCTTCTTCTTTTTCGAGAGGAGCTTCAGCTGACTGGTTTTTGGCTGCTGTTGACGGGCAAGCAAGGCAAGGTAGAGTGAGGGAGTCCATGTGTAATGGCGGCAGGGATGTTGCCCGTGAAATGATGTATGGATGGGATGCGGTCCTGATTTGATGGGGGCGGCATCATCCCCGCATCTGTCCCGAGCAACGGACAGGGAGCAGGCGGGGGAGGGAACTGAGAAAGTACCGAAGGAAGGGCGCCGACTAACTGTTCGAGGGATGCGCACCAATCGGTCAATTAATCCATCATCTCACCCGCTTTTTTCTCCCATCGCAAATACCACGACTAGGGATGGGGAAGGGCGAGGTGAAGGGCAAGTCGTGTAAGAGGGCGATCGATAAGCCTTCTGGCTGGAGTTGCCTTGATCTAATGCATGTAAGTTGGTCCATGGCTGAGGAATACCACAGTACCAGTGAGACATGAGGTAGCATGGCAGCAGCGGCGCTGCACACACACACACACACCGATGGTCTCCCTTCGGGGCAGATCCCAGTGATGGTTACATACATGACCTATGTTGGCCCGGGGCCCTGGGCTTGACATCATAGCAGCACCAATGGCAACCTCGCGGGTCTCCATATACACGGCGCGCCAGGCTATTCCCACGAGACACGCTCCAGTCATCGTCGCATTCTCCCAGAATTTTAACGCATAGACGCACCACTCGCGGTTAAGATCGTCATTCCCTTCCGGGAAGGACGAGCACACTGCTTGCTTTCGCGGGGGGAAAGCCCTGACCCCAAGAGGGTCGCGGGGAAGCCTGGTGGAGGAGGAGAAGCTGGGGCGAACTTTTGTTTTTCTTGTTGCTCTCCTCGAGCTCGTTGCGGCCTGCCCTCGCGGAATTGGCTTGCCGACCTGCTGGGGGTCGCTGTCGTATATAAAGGGCTCGTCTCCCTTGAGCTCCCCGTTTGGCCTGCCTGCCGGGTCCCCATTGCTTCTCCATCCTCTGGGAACACAAGCCATTGGTCCACCAGAAAAGCTATTTCGTGCCATTGGACACTGCTTGAACGCAAGAATGAAGTGGAGCAACCACATCGTCGGCCTCTTGCTGCCAGTATTGGGCGTTGCTGCTCAGAACAGCACCAAGCCCGTGGCAGACAAGAACGGCAAATACTGGATCTCGAGCGGCAGCCTCAAGGCCGGCTTCGTCCCCTACGGAGCTGCCATCTCCGACCTGTACATCAACGACAAGTACGGCGTCCAGAGGGATCTCATCGCCGGGTGGGAGAATGCCAGCTACTACGGCATCGATGGCCAGCACCCAAACTACGGCAACGTCCCTGGGCGCTATGCGAACCGCATCAAGAACAGCACGTTCGAGATTGACGGCGAGACGTACCACATCACCCCCAACGAGCACCCCACGGAGGAGCACCCGGACGGCATCAACTCGCTGCACGGCGGCAAGGACGGCTGGGGCTGGCGCAACTTCACCGTCGTCGCCCACACGGACACGAGCATCACCTTCTCCATCGTCGACCCGGACGGCAAGGAAGGGTTCCCGGGAGAGGTCATCTCCTACGTGACGTACACCCTGGAGGGCTTCGACTGGCACATCAGCATGGTGGCCGTCCCGACGACCAAGGCCACGCCCATCATGCTCAGCAGCCACACGTACTGGAACCTCGACGGCTTCGCCAACAACGAGACCCAGTCGGCGCTCAACCACACCCTGCACCTGCCCTACAGCGGCCAGCGCGTCGCCGTGGACAACATCCTGATCCCGACCGGCGAGATCCAGGCCAATGCCAAGGGCTCCGTCAACGACTTCTGGAGCGCCCCCAAGCAGCTCGGCGCATCGTTCAGCGATCCTGAGATTGTCAACAACTGCGGTCTCAACTGCACTGGCTATGGTAAGTTCCTCCCCCATCAGATCATCGCTGGATCAAATATGTATAACTGACACCCACTTCCCCTAGACAACTGCTGGACGGTGAACCGACAATCGCTCGGCAACTATGACTGGCGCACCCACAGCCCCGTCGCGACCATCTCGTCGGCGTGGTCGGGCATCAAGCTCGACATCTACACGAACCAGGACGCCTTCCAGGTGTACAGCTGCAACGGGCAGAACGGCACCCTCACCCTCAAGGAGTCGCAGGGGCTGACCGACAACGCCGACTTCCCCCGCACCATCCCCAAGTACGGGTGCGTGGTGCTCGAGGTGCAGGACTACATTGACGGCATCAACCACCCGGAGTGGCACCGCGAGCCGAAGCAGATCTTCCGCCCCGGCGGTGATCCGTATGTGCTGCAGGCGAGATATCACTTCAGTGTGGGTGAGGAGAAGGATTAGAATACAGTGTAACGCGAGGATGGGATGGGATGGTTTAGTCCATAATGATATGTTTTTATTCGTTAGATAGTTAAATTCGTAATGTGTGTATACACGCCCAGAGAATTGAGCTGTTTCGGAAAATCGTTTTGGTTGGCGATTAGAATTGGTGATGCAGAAAAGTGTTGCGAATGCCGTCGGGATTGGAGGATGATTAGGTATTTATGATGGTGGAGGGGTTCATTGGGAGAAAAAAACCATGGTGGGGTGGTACAAGTTGGACAGTAGAAAAACATATGTAGCTATATGTACCCCCACCATCAGTGGCCAAACTTATCAGTCATGCCTGAATATTTTGCACATCCCACCTAGAACAGTGCATCCAAAGACAAGCATTTCACTTGGAAATATATTATTTTGACTATATGTTTGAACTTATAGACTCAACTCCTGCGACTCATCAAGAATGGAGGAGGACAGAGCCCAGACAGACTTGGGCATCGCTGCGGACATTGAGGAAGCACAGCGATATGAGAGCGAACAGATACTCACATCAGCGCCAGAGACTGTAGAGACGGCTGCACCGTCTCAGGCCTCAGAGCAAACCCCCATAAGACAGCCCAAGAAGAGATTCGTTGGGCGCAGAGCAGCCGATGCTGCCGCCGCAAAGAATGTAAGCACCGCTTCACCCGGAGAAGGGAGTGGCGCTGTGCAATGTGCGTTTCCATCACATCCACGTCTTTCATGTTGACATCAGTGCCTATGATAAGAACTCATCTGACACTACCTTGAATAATTAGCTGCCAAGCCCAGGAGAGCACCTCGTCTCCTGAATCAAGTCCCCATAGAGATTCTGGAGGATCCGAATCTAAAGGCTGCCGTCGGTCTCCTACCATCAAATTACAGCTTTGAGATCCCCAAGACTATCCACCGTATCCGGACCTCAGGGGCCAAGAAGGTCGCCCTCCAGATGCCCGAGGGACTACTCCTTTTTGCCACAACCATCTCAGATATTCTCATGCAGTTTTGCCCAGGCATCGAGACACTCATCATGGGCGATGTGACATACGGCGCCTGCTGCATCGACGACTACACAGCGAGGGCGCTCGGATGCGATCTCCTCGTCCACTACGCCCACAGCTGTCTTATCCCCGTCGACGTGACAAAGATCAAGACTCTCTACGTCTTCGTCGACATCAGCATCGACGTCACTCACCTCCTTGCCTCCCTCGAGCGCAACTTCCCCACAGGCAAGACCATTGCCGTGGTCGGCACCATCCAGTTCAACGCCACCATCCACGGTGTCAAGAACGCTCTGGAGAGGGCGGGCTTCCGCATTCTCGTACCTCAGATCGCCCCCCTCAGCAAGGGCGAGATTCTCGGGTGCACCTCCCCGCGCCTCAAGGACGACGATGCCGTCGACCTCATCCTGTACCTCGGCGACGGTCGCTTCCACCTCGAGAGCATCATGATCCATAACCCCTCCATCCCCGCGTATCGCTACGACCCTTACTCCCGCAAACTCACCCGCGAGACGTACGAGCACGACGAGATGCAGACGATACGCCGCTCCGCCATCACCGCGGCCAAGAAGGCCAAGAAATGGGGGCTCATCCTCGGCTCGCTCGGCCGCCAGGGTAACCCGCACACCATGGCCCTGATCGAGAAGAAGCTGACGGAGAGGGGCATCCCCTGGGTCAACTTACTCCTGAGCGAGATCTTCCCAGGAAAGTTGGCCCTCATGAGCGACGTCGAATGCTGGGTCCAGGTTGCATGCCCACGCCTCAGCATCGACTGGGGCTATGCGTTCCCCAGGCCTCTTCTGACCCCCTACGAGGCCCTTGTCACGTTGGAGGTGAAGGAGGACTGGGGCCAGCAGGCCTACCCGATGGATTATTACGGAAGGGAGGGTCTTGGAAGGACGAGGCCACCCATCGACGTAGGAGGAAAGTAAATACAAAATTAAAAGGTTACTGGCTTAAGATTCGTCTGATTTCTGAACCAAGTGAGACATTGAATTGTGCATGGTGTTGTCATATCAAACCACTATCCTCCACTTGAGAGATTACCTGGATCTATGATCTCCATAGCATGTGCCGCCCGATTTCTTTACCTTACTTAGACTAGCCATTCGGCTCTAAACTGGTGTTTCCTTAGTCTATGTTGGTAAAGCCTTCATCGATATTGTGATATTTGCTCCTTTCCTCATGCTGGGTTGCCCAAGACAGCTCAATTGAGGCACGTAAGGCTTATAACATCAGCCAGCCTAGTGAGTGGCCTGCAGCATGGACGTTCATTATTTGAGAGCCTGCTAGTCCAGATAACTTGTCCATGACTGCGTTATTCAGGAATTTCGTGTGATGAACCTCAGTAATCTTCAATGGTGACTTCCGACAGGTAATGTGGCACACAGGCTTGCTCGTTCCCAGTCGGTACACTATATCCGCAACATAGTGATCTATGACATGGTCATTAGATTCGTGAAAGAGCTGGATGCAGTTGGGGATATGGAGCCACGCCGAAGGCTGAACCAAAGCTTCAAGCTGGTGCATGGGCAGTTCCAACCGGTTCAGGCCGCTGGGAGAAGACGAGCTTATACTTGACAATCTCCACGACCTCAAGGTTTTCGCCCTCCTCGCCGTGCGTCCCTCCCGAGCCCTCCTTTGCGCGGTTCTCCCGGCGACGGACAACAGCCATCGCCTTTGGGAGCTTCTTCACCTGGCCATGAAGGCGCTGGTGCTGCCCAATGAACAGATGCACCCGGTTCATCCAATCTGTTCCCTCCTCCCCGGGCACGTAATCTGGGAACTCGACGCTGCCGAGTTGAAACCCACTGAGAGGTTCGCCTTTGGAATCGCGAGGAAGGTTGATGGTTCCTTGCAATTCAAGGATGGCCAGGCCCGAAGGAGTTTGGAGTAATGTTGGCAGTGGACTTGAGGTTGGTGTATCCCGCCTTGTAGGCGGGTATAATTTTGTCGAGGCCATGGCTTTCCCCCCTTTTGGAAGCGAAATAGTATTTTAAGGTCAAGTTGTGGAAATTCAATTTGGAAGTTTACGCTTGTAAATCAATACCAAGCCAAAGCACGCGTTCAAGCTGGTAGTTTTCTACCATTGTTTGGACACAACTCACAATAGATATGTGGCTTGCCATGTGGCTTAGTAGGTGGAGCACAAGGGACTTGAGGCTTAAACAGGGTGGGTGCCTTATCTAATACCAATTGATTTGGAAAAAAAAAAACATGCAACGGAACGGGAAAGCCTTTCACCGTGATTTTTTTCTGGGCCTCTGTTTGATTGGCCACACATTCTGCCACCGGCGGGTAGCCCTAGCACCACACACTTTCTATCATTTCGCCCAAATTTTGTAACCTCCATCCATCCCGCAAATCCCAAACAACTTTCACAGCCAGGTCAAGTACACTTGCACCACCACAACTGGCAAGATGAAGGTAAGTCGACACCACCTGTTCAAGGAATGCATCTGGGAACATGAAGACGAAGTTCGCTATCAATCAAACATTCGAATTGGGAGCTTCCCGGCGCCGCGATGTCAACGCGAACTTTCTCGACATGCCAGATTTCCTGTATCATATGCATCCATGATCCTCAATACTAACAATCAATCCAGTTGAACGTCTCCTACCCTGCCAATGGCAGCCAGAAGCTCTTCGAGATCGAGGATGAGCGCAAGACCGCCATCTTCACTGAGAAGCGCGTACGTCCGATCCATCACACGACCCGACGAGAACAAAAGGACATCAGACTAACATAATGGGAATCCAGATGGGCGCTGAGGTCCCCGGCGACTCCGTCGGCGACGAGTTCAAGGGCTACATCTTCCGCATCACCGGCGGAAACGACAAGCAGGGCTTCCCCATGAAGCAGGGTGTCCTCCACCCCAACCGTGTCCGCCTCCTCCTCTCCGACGGCCACTCCTGCTACCGCCCCCGCCGCACCGGCGAGCGCAAGAGAAAGTCGGTCCACGGCTGCATCGTCGGCAACGACATGTCCGTCATCGCCCTCTCCATCGTCAAGAAGGGCGACGACGAGATCCCCGGCCTCACCGACGTCGTCCACCCCAAGCGCCTCGGCCCCAAGCGCGCCACCAAGATCCGCAAGTTCTTCGGCCTCACCAAGGATGACGATGTATGTCTTTCCCCGCTGCCATACTCGATCATCGCCTACTCGGGGCTGCAGCCACGGCAGTGGCAGTCCCAGTAGAGAGTGAGAGGGTCCCGTCCTTACGAAGGGGACGGGAGGCGACAATCCAAAACTAATGTAGAGATGAAAAAAACTAATGAGCCACCCACGAAAAATAGGTTCGCAAGTACGTCATTCGCCGCGAGGTCCAGCCCAAGGGCGAGGGCAAGCAGGCCTACACCAAGGCTCCCAAGATCCAGCGTCTTGTGACTCCCCAGCGCCTCCAGCACAAGCGCCACCGCGCCGCTCTCAAGAGACGCCAGGCCGAGAAGGTCAAGGATGAGGCCGTACGTTTCCACTTAGTTCTTCCCTTGCCAATGCCCTGGGTACTGTTCACAGCTAACATTCCTTCCTATAGAACGAGTACGCTCAGATCCTCGCCAAGCGTGTTGCTGAGGCCAAGGCCAACAAGGCTGATGCTCGCAAGCGTCGTGCCAGCTCTATCCGCAAGTAAAGGTCGGGCGTTTTTAGTGAAAAATAAAAAGGGGCAATTTATACCCACGTCTTCCAATTTTGCGTGCGTTGGGAGTGAGGAATATCATGAGCTCACGTTTGAGCTAGCGCTGGCTGTATTAGGCATTCTGGGAAATTCCAATCAATTCTTAATGCCGTCTGCGTATCTGCTCTGTGTATCATCATGCTCCGTAGTTGTTATAAAGCCATACCCACCAGCGAAATGACCTCGTCGTAGTCTACGCATCTTGCATGCAGCCAGAGGAGAACTGTGCGGATGGCAACCAGTTTCTTCTTGGTGCAATGGGGGGTGATCAGGTAATCCTTAACACTCTTAATTATTGCCAATGCGGCACAACACTATGCTAGCTACTACACACTGTCCTCTCCCTACGTTTGTTAGGTATGCAGCCCCTGCTACTACCTTCAATCAGCCCCCAAGAAGCAGTTAAGACCTGCACTTCCCTCCTGCTTCTACATATGGAAACCAATAGCGGCAAACCCTGTTCTCTCATTTGGCCTGACAGATATCTTTTCCATCGAGGCATTACCCGTAGCTCTGCAAAGTGGCGAATTGAGTATCTATGCGAAACCAAAATATTCGCTTCCAGCGGTAATGGCCTTCATCAATTGTGATCGTAAAGCATCGTAGCTTTCGTACTCAGGGATATCGAGCTCTAGAAAATAGTCAAGTTAATAATTTGAAGATAGAAACGTAGACATGTAGGAAGCAAGTTGGTAATAACGTACGGTTAAAGCAGGTATGAGACGTGGGGAGTCGGTCCTTGTTGCCATAGTCTCTATGGATGTTGAATCGATTGACACCATTCATGCCTTCTAATTCCTTGAAGCCATTTAGAGGAACCTTGCTGGTTCCGGTAACAAATTGGAGTAATTTGGCTCTCTCTTCTTTGTCAAAGGAGCGAACAGCTCTCCAGAACCACTGGATCTGTGGAGAAGAGGGATTGTAATTTTGATACTCTGTGTTGCTCTTCCAGTCGTCAACATCGATATCAGGAAGCCCAGAAATGAGGAGTTCGAGTTCCTGTTCATTGAAAATCGAAATGAGCTCTTCAGGAATGATATCATGGAATCCTAAAAACAAGGTTAGATTCAGCGACTTTGTAAGATTTATAGAGAGGAGGCAATGCACTTACCCTTCAAAAAGTGTTCCATCTGGTCTTTAACTGATGAAAGAAGTTTGTGTTCAACTACGAGGCGGACATAGTCCTGCTTGTTTTCGTCTGTCACAGGTATTTCCCGCCCATTGGGGATAAGATCCACCACTTTAGTGACACCAAACTCATCGTCCTCCACTGAGAAGGTTTCAGTGATGATGTCGGTGATGTCGTTCTCCAGCATCCAGCAAAGTGATTTGTAGTAGTCTGGGTCGAATGACTCCATATCCTTTACCGAAACAGATTTGCCAAGAATGCGCTTGTAGACAGCGCGACTGAAGTAACAGTCCAGAACCCGACCTTCATAGAGGGCCTTTCCAATGATGCGGCCAATAAACTTGAAGAACATCAAGTGTTCGTCATTGATGCCGCTGAGTTTGTTTGGATGGAACGTGGTTCGATCTGATGACACTGGAATGAAGAGAGCATAATTGGCATCGAACATCTGTCGGGCCAGAACCTGGAACCACTCTCGTGTAACGCCACCAGCGTCAACTCCCTCTTCTCCGTGGAAACGGATATTGAGTTTCCCGAACTTCATCTCATCTCCGGATTTGAAGTACAGTGATTTGAACGAATCGTGGAAGACTTGGTCGCGACGGACTGACAAGTTCAAGGTGGGGAAAGAAGGCCGGCCGTGGTGAGGTTGGCCCGAACGGGAATGCACGCTTCGATTGAAGTAGTTTCTCTTGTTGTCAAATTCCAGGACTTTCGGGTTCTTAACCAAAAGAGCAAAAGTGCCAGACATGAGCTTAGGATTATTTCTGACCAACTCGTTCAAAATCCGACGATGGTCCTCAGTGAACGAAAAGAAAAGACTGGCGGTACGTGATTCAGGAGGGGGGCTAGACAGCACCATCTCCTTGCTCAACTGAGCCTGAGAAGGATCATCTTGAGTAGTCGTGTTCTTGCAAACAACCATGAGAGATTCGATCAGTGGCAGCAGAATGGTAGCAACGTTGAACATGTTCTCTCGCTCGTGTATAGCTGTCAAGCATGCACCGAGCTTGTCCCACATGGCAGAGAAGGTTGAGTTGTGGTAGAGAGATGTGACCAGGTCTTGCTTTTCACTATCTGGTTTGTCATTTTCACCACCATTGGATTTCTTCTTGCCGTCGAACAA